CGTGCCTGCCGACAAATGCTAAGGAAGCGCATTGATCCCTATAAGCGTAGGGAAAAGCATCGAACGACCCGAATTTTGTTGCATATTCGGCTGGTCCATGTTCAAATACACCTTCCAGAGCAACTTCAGCTTGGTTCGCGCGCACATAAAAGTTCAGCGCCCGCGATGACAGCCGTGCCTGCCCACAAGGCCAAGGAAGCGCATTGGTCCCTATGCGCGTAGGGAAAAGCATCGAACGACCCGAATATTGTTGCATATTCGTGTGGCCCATGTTCAAATACACCTTCCAGAGCAACTTCAGCTTAATTCGCGCGTACAAAAAAGTTCGGCGCCCGCGATGACGGCAGTGCCTGCCGACAAATACTAAGGAAGCGCATGGATCCCTATAGGCGTAGGGAAAAGCATCCAATGACCCAAATATTGTGGCATATTCGGGTGGCCCATGTTCAAATAAACCTACCAGATCAACTTCAGCTTGGTTCGCGCGCACAGAAAAGTTCGGCGCCCGCGATGACGGCCGTGTCTGCCTACAAATGCTAAGGAAGCGCATGGATCCCTATAGGCGTAGGGAAAAGCATCCAACAACCCGAATATCGTTGCATATTCGGGTGGCTCATGTTCAAATACACCTTCCAGAGCAACTTAGCTTGGTTCGCCCGCACATAAAAGTTCGGCGTCCGCGATGACGGCCGTGCCTGCCCACAAATGCTAAGGAGGCGCATGGATCCCTATATGCGTAGGGAAAAGCATCCAACGACCCAAATATTGTTGCATATCCGGGTGACCCATGTTGAAATACACCTTACAGGGCAACTTCAGCTTGGTTCGCGCGCACAAAAAAGTTCGGCGCCCGCGATGACGGCCGTGCCTGCCACAAATGCTAAGGAAAGGAAGCGCATGGGTGATGAGAGTAGGGAGAAGGGTGATGAGAGTAGGGAGAAGGGTGATGAGAGTAGAGAGAAGGGTGATGAGAGTTGGGAGAAGGGTGATGAGAGTAGGGAGAAGGGTGATGAGAGTAGAGAGAAGGGTGATGAGAGTAGAGAGAAGGGTGATGAGAGTAGGGAGAAGGGTGATGAGAGTAGAGAGAGGGGAGATAAGAGTAGGGAGAAGGGAGATGAGAGTAAGGAGAAAGGTTATGAGAGTAAGGAGAAGGGAGAAGGGTGATGAGAGTAGGGAGAAGGGTGATGAGAGTAGGGAGAAGGGAGATGCGCCTGGAAACAAATGCTAAGGAAGGGCTTGGATCCCTATAGGCGTAGTGCAGCGGGCGCTCTTCATTCGCGAGCGCCGATGACCGATGATGCTTGCAACCCACTCACGCCCTTGCTGGCTTGGCAATAGGCCTAGACAAGCGCAGCCAGGTGACCCGTTAGAATAAAAACGCTCAGAACGAGCGCTTCTAGCCTCAAAACGCGGAAGGATTCGCACATGTGCAGGAAGTGCAGCGGGCGCTCTTCATTCGCGAGCGCTGATGACCAATGATGCCCTCCCACGCCCTTGCTGGCTTGGCAAAAGGCCCAGACAAGCGCAGCCAGGTGACCCAGTAGAAGAAAAACGCTCAGAACGAGCGCTTCCATCCCCAAAACGCGGAAGGATTCGCACATGTGCAGGAAGTGCAGCGGGCGCTCTTTATTCGCGAGCACCGATGACCGATGATGCTTGCAACCCACCCACGCCCTTGCTGGCTTGGCAATAGGCCCAGAAAAGCGCAGCCAGGTGACCCGGTAGAAGAAAAACGCTCAGACCGAGCGCTTCTAGCCTCAAAACGCGGAAGGATTTGCACATGTGCAGGAAGTGCAGCGGGCGCTCTTCATTCGCGAGCGCTGATGACCAATGATGCTCGCAACCCTCCCACGCCCTTGCTGGCTTGGCAATAGGCCCAGACAAGCGCAGCCAGGTGACCCGGTAGAAGAAAACTGCTCAGAACGAGCGCTTATAGCCTCAAAACGCGGAAGGATCCGCACATGTGCAGGAAGTGCAGCGGGCGCTCTTCATTCGCGAGCGCTGATGACCAATGACGCTTGCAACCCTCCCACGCCCTTGCTGGCTTGGCAATAGGCCCAGAAAAGCGCAGCCAGGTGACCCGATAGAAGAAAAACGCTTAGAATGCGCGCTTCCAGCCCCAAAATGCTTAAGGATCCGCACATGTGCAGGAAGTGCAGCGGCTCTTCATTCGCGGGCGCCAATGACCGATGATGCTTGTAACCCACCCACACCCTTGCTGGCTTGGCAGTTGGCCCAGACAAGCGCAGCCAGGTGACCCGGTAGAAGAAAAACGCTCAGAACGAGCGCTTCTAGCCTCAAAACGCGGAACGATTCGCACATGCGCAAGAAGTGCAGCGGGCGCTCTTCATTCGCGAGCGCTGATGACCAACAATGCTCGCAACCCTCCCACGCCCTTGCTGGCTTGGCAGTAGGCCCAGACAAGCGCAGCCAGGAGACCCGGTAGAAGAAAAACGCTCAGAACGAGCGCTCCCAGCCCCAAGACGCGGAAGGATCCGCACATGTGCAGGAAGTGCAGCGGGCGCTCTTCATTCGTGTGCGCCGATGACCAATGATGCTTGCAACCCTCCCACGCCCTTGCTGGCTTGGCAATAGGCCCAGACAAGCGCAGCCAGGTGACCCGGTAGAAGTAAAACGCTCAGAACGAACGCTTCCAGCCCCAAAACGCTGAAGGATCCGCACATGTGCAGGAAGTGCAGCGGGCGCTCTTCATTCGCTAGCGCCAATGACCGATGATGCTTGCAACCCTCACACGCCCTTGCTGGCTTGGAAATAGGCCCAGACAAGCGCAGCCATGTGACTCGGTAGAAGAAAAACGCTCAGAACGCGCGCTTCCAGCCCCAAAACGCGGAAGGATCCGCACATGTGCAGGAAGTGCAGCGAGCGCTCTTCATTCGCAAGCACCGATGACCGATGATGCTCGCAACCCTCCCACGCCCTTGCTGGCTTGGTAATAGGCCCAGAAAAGTGCAGCCACGTGACCGGGCGGAATAAAAACGCTCGGAACGAGCGCTTCCACCCCCAAAACGCGGAAAGATCCTCACGTGTGCAGGAAATGCAGCGGGCGCTCTTCATTCGCGAGCGCCGATGACCGATGATACTCGCAACCCTCCCACGCCCTTGCTGGCTTGGTAATAGGCCCAGACAAGCGCAACCACGTGACCCGGCAGAAGAAAAACGCTCGGAACGAGCGCTTCCACCCCCAAAACGCGGAAGGATCCGCACATGTGCAGGAAGTGCAGCGGGCGCTCTTCTTTCGCGAGCTCCGATGACCGATGATGCTCGCAACACTCCCACGTCCTTGCTGGCTTGGTAATAGGCCCAGACAAGCGCAGCCACGTGACCCGGCGGAATAAAATCGCTCGGAACGAGCGCTTACACCCCCACAATGCGGAAGGATCCGCGCATGTGCAGGAAGTGCAGCGGGCGCTCTTCATTCGCGAGCGCCGATGACCGATGATGCTCGCAACCCTCCCATGCCCTTGCTGGCTTGGTAATAGGCCCAGACAAGCGCAGCCACGTGACACAGCGGAAGAAAAATGCTCGGAACGAGCTTCCAGCACCAAAAAGCGGAAGGATCCGCACATGTGCAGGAAATGCAGCGGGCGCTCTTCATTCGCGAGCGCCGATGACCGATGATGCTCGCAACCCTCCCACGCCCTTGCTAGCTTGGTAATAGACCCAGAAAAACGCAGCCACGTGACCCGGCGGAAGAAAAACGCTCGTAACGAGCGCTTCCAGCCCCAAAACGCGGAAGGATCCGCACATGTGCAGGAAGTGCAACGGGCGCTCTTTATTCGCGAGCGTCGATGACCGATGATGCTCGCAACCCTCCCACGCCCTTGCTGGCTTGGTAATAGGCCCAGACAAGCGCAGTTACATGACCCAACGGAAGAAAATCGCTCGGAACGAGCGCTTCCACCCCCAAAACGCGGAATGATCCGCACATGTGCAGGAAGTGCAGCGGGCGCTCTTCATTCGCGAGCGCCAATAACCGATGATGCTCGCAACCCTCCCAAGCCCTTGCTGGCTTGGTAATAGGCCCAGACAAGCGCAGCCACGTGACCTGGCGGAAGAAAAACGCTTGGAACGAGCGCTTCCAGCCCCAAAACGCGGAAGGATCCGCGCAGCGATGTCCTCAGCAGCGTCTCCAGCACCAACACCAGCCACACCACCACCAACCCAATCGTTACAAGCAGCCAAACTAGCACGACCGCTATCGGAAATACCGCCATCCCCTTCCTCCTCTTCCTTGACCTCTTCCTCCTCCTCCTCCTCCTCCTCCTCCTCCTCCTCCTCCTCCTCCTCCTCCTCCTCCTCCTCCTCCTCCTCTTTCTCCTCCTCCTCCTCCTCCTCCTCCTCCTCCTCCTCCTCCTCCACCACCCCCCCTACCCCTCGCCCCTTGCATTCGACAATGTGGGTGAACAAGGCGGCGCCCAGAGCTCCCCGGCACAGAGCAGACAGGATGGCAAACCGAAGCCCCGTCAACGACCGTATTCTACAAGCGATTGTGACAATACAGAGGGCCAGGAGAGTGGCTGGAGAAGGCACCAGGGGAGGCCAGGGAGGTATAACGGGTGTAGAGAGTCAGCAAAGTCAAGCAAGTCAACGGAGCCATGGTGGAGGGGCGGAGGGGATGGTGAGTGGCGGGGGGCCTGGAGAAGCGCGAGGTGGAGGAGGTCATGACGCAGCTGCAGCGACGCCACAACTAGAAGGCCACCCTCGAGGTGCCGCGCGTTGTTGGGCCATCCCCTTGTTTAATCTCGCTGCTCTAAAGAAGCGATGGTCAGGACACAACCTCAACAACCCTCCCCCTTCTCCCGTCCCCTCCCCTCCCGCAGTTGTGTCTCTACAACGCCCTTATGAGCGTCTTACTCCACCCAGTCTGCCCTCGTCAATCCCCCTCCTCCCCATCCTCCCCCTCATCCTCGCCCTCCTCCTCCTCTCCCCTGCGCCAGGTGTTCGCGTGGAGCCAGCAGCAGGCATGGTTTCGGCCCAACATGCGGCTGTACAACGCGCTCATGGGCTTCCTGGCGAGGGAGCACCAGGCGCACGCCGCCACGCTGCTCTTCCAGGACATGCTGCTGTCGCGCGCGCGCTCCAACCACTTCACCTACACCGCACTCATCAACGCGTACGGCCGCGCCAGGTGGTTTGAGGACGCGCTTGCTGTCTTCCACCACATGAAGACGTGCGACGACAATGACTGCAGGTGAGGGGAAGGGGATTACTGGCGGTGAGAGCGTCACAGTGTGCCAGCTGTGATGGGATGGGCATCACGCTGTGCCTTGCCGCTTCACATAGCCCCAAACCCGCCTGCACGTCTCACTGTAAATCCTCGCGACCCCTTGCCACCCCTCCTGTCATCCCACCCGCCCAAGCCTAACACAGTGACGTGCAACGCGCTGATTGGTGCGCTGTGCAAGGGGGGCATGTACGACGAGGCAGTGGAGGTGTTCATGGACATGCGCTCTGGGGCGGGCCGCCTGCCACTCAACTGCCGGTCAGCTGTGCCGTGCTGGGCCGACAGCGGGTGGGGCGACACGCAGAGCAAGCATTGTGGACATGTATGCCCGCGCATGCAAAGGAGGTGCAGCCAGTTACGGCTCTTATGTCCTGCCAGCACGTTACTATCAAGGGAAGAGGTGCTCACGCCTAGGCCGACGGCTAGACAAATACAGGACGTGCAGAAAGTGAAGAGTGCAGACGAAGGAAATTACTGCCCATAGGATTATGGTTCCTTCTCTCACCTTCTCTCTCGCCCTTTTATGCGCGCATCCACACAAAAAGATGTACAACACGCTCATGGACGGGTATGGGGTTGCTCATGGCTTCTCATTTGTTTGACCTTCCCTCTACCCATCTCATCCGCCTCTCCACCCACACATGTTTCCCCCAGGCCCAACATAGTGACGTACAACACGCTCATCGACCCCTTGTGCCGGGAAGGCCAGCTCGACGCCGCTCTGCAGGTGGGTGTGCTGTGCTGTGCGACCACAGGTTGCTAGTCTCAATACGGTATTCTGGTGTCATTACGGTTTGCTGGTGCAACACGGTGAGCTGGTGCACATTGTGCATACACCCATCTCATACATTTTGCTTCTACCACACCACGTGTGACTCCTCTGCATCAGCTACATCTCCCAACTTCACTACCCCCCATCCTCCATACCCCACCCCACTCGCCCACCAGGTGTTGGACGACCTGTCATCGGGCGTGTTGGACGAGCAGGTGGAGCCCAACATAGTGAGGTGCAACACCATCATCAACGCATGTGGCAAGGCGGGCCGCGCCCCCGACGCCGAGGCCACGCTGCAGGCAATGGAGCGCACCGCCATGGCGGCGGACGGCATCGCGTTCACCGCACTCGTGGACGCGTACGGCCGCACAGGCGATGTGGAGCGCGCTGAGGAGGCGTTTCAGCGTATGCTGCAGGAAGGCAAATCCCCCCCGACGTGTTCTCCTACACGGCCCTCATGGCTGCCTTTGGCCGCGCTGGCCTGTCGGACCGCGTCACCGAGACGCTGGCTGCCATGCAGCGCGCGGGCGTGCTGCCCAACGAGGTGACGTTCCTCACCGTGCTGGACGCCCATGGCAAGGCGGGTAACTACGAGGAGGCTGACGCCACGCTCGTCGCCATGGTTACGTGCGGTTACCGCCCGTCGGTGTACAGCTGGAGCTGCTTGATTGACGCGTTTGGGAAGGCGGGGCTTTATGCCAAGGCAGCAGGGGCGTTTGAGCGCATGCAGGCCGAGGGCTGCCGCCCGAATCTGATCACGTACGCAGCGATTTTGTCTGCTTGTGCACGGTGTGAGAAGTGGGAGGACGCGCTGGAGCTGTTGTACTGCCTGCAGAGGACTGGCGGCGAATGGGAGGTCGCCATGTGTCGGCTCGTGATGGCAGGCCCAGAGGAGGAAGGAGAGGAGTGTGCGAGTGAGGAGGAGGTGGTGGAGGGGCTGGTGAGAAGAGGGGCGCGGGGAGGGGCGGGCAGGAGGGGCGAGAGGGGGGACGAGGGGCTGTGGGAGTCAGCAGGGCGGATGTTTGGTGCGTTCCAGGCGCTGCCGCTGGCCATGCGGCGCTCCTTCTACAACGCGCTGGCCGACTCTGGAGCTTTGGCATGCGGCGCCGCGCTGCCCGCGTGGTGGCGTTGGGCCGCGGGCTGGGCGTGTATGGCGGTGCGGACGACCTGCACAAGGAGGCGCGCGGTGCACGCAGGGGTGGCGTGGGGCACAGGGAGAGCAGCAGTGGCAGTGAGAGTGAGAATGGCAGTGGTACTGGGAGTGGCAAGCAGAGAGGTAGTGGGGCCGGAAGGGGCGGCGGCATGTGGAGGGAGGAGGGCATCTGGAATGTGGACCTGCACGAGCACTCCATTGGCTCCGCCTGCGCCTTCCTCTTCCTCTGGCTGCGCGACCTGCGCACCGCCTGGCAGGTGCGCTGCTCACAAGGGGGTAGGGAGCGGCTATAAAGGGAGAGTGTAGAGTGGGAAGAGAATTGGCCATGCCCGTGTGTCCTGATGCCCAGCTGCCTGTGCATTGTGAGCGTAACTCCTCTCCTCGTGCTCGCCCATCATGGAGTCGCATCAAGTCTCTCCAGTTTCTCCTTTTCCAATCCTCACCAATCCCCCATCCATCCGTCCCACTCCCTCCACTCTCTTTTCTACATCTCCTTGCTCTTCCTCCCTGCCCCCTGCCCCCTGCCCCCCGTCTGCCTGTCTGCCTGCCCACGTCCCAGTGGCACAATGAGATACCGGAGGCCATCGATACAGTCACGGGGTGGGGGAGTCATATCAAGCGCAAGGACGCCACGTCAGACAGGCTAGCACAGGTGGCGCCCCTCAAGGCAGCGGTCCTGAGGGAGCTGCACCTCATGCACTCGCCCTTCCAGGAACTTTCTGTCAATGCGGGGCGGCTGGTGGCGGGCGGATGGGCGGCGTACTCGTGGCTGTTGCAGGAGGAGATGGGGGAGCGGCTGCAGCTCAGGGATGCGCCCCAGCCCGTGCCTCCTGGGGACAAGCCCTACGAACCACTGTAACAGACTCAGTAGATAAGGAGCATGCACCCATTTCGAGGTGATGTTATCTGTTGCTCAATGGGCTTCGTTGTACCCTAGCAATAGGGGCACTTTCCCTCGTGCCCTCATTATGTGTTGGACAAGTGAATGAGATGGTTGGCATACTTGTAACATGCGCCTACATGGATGACATACTTGTCAACAATGCATACCTATTCGAGCCACTGAAATCATCAAAGGGATACCGTATCTCAGCTAAGGTATCCGCCGCCAGCAGGTGGGTGACAGGTCAGGAGTAGAAGCGGGAGAGGGCGACGGAGGGCACATAGTCGAGCACGATGCCGTCCTCCAGCCCCTGGAACAACACCCCCGCGTACTCCTTGTGCGCCGGATGCTCCACGTACGCATCACGCCCCTTGGCGTCGTCAAAGGTGGTGATGAACACGTGCGTGTACCCCTTGTGCAGCCCCTCCACACTCACGTCCGCGCCCCTGCAGCAGGGGGAGCAGTAGCAGTGGGGGCGGCAGGGAGGGCGGCAGGGGGGTGTTCGTTGGCACAGAACGGGGTTGTGAGGAAGAGAGGGAGGGGCAGAGGGGATGATGAGGCCCCATAGCCAGTCTGGCCCCATGGTGCCTTGGGGATTCCACAGGGGAGCTCGTGAAAATGCACCTGTGCAATAGGAATGGAGCAGCACGGGCCAAGCCAACGGAATGACGTTGACAGGTTTCTTCAAGGAAGAGGAAATGGAAAACCGCGGGGAGAGGAAAGGGTCATGAGGCATAATGCAGCTCACCACTCGAATCCTTTCATGGCCGGAATCTTCTTCGTGAGAGCTTGATATCCGTCGATCAGCTCCTGAATCTGCTCAGCCGTCCAATCCGCCTTGAATTTCGCCAGGAGTACGTGCTTCACAGTCGATTTTCCTATTTTAGGCTTCAGCAGAGTACGCGATAAAAGCAGGCCCACACCAGTACCGACAAGAGCGGCAGCCGCTGTGATGATGGAAGCGAGCTCTCGAGTCATCTTGCCGCGATCACCTAAAATTCGTGCGATGCGAAGGCGGTGGGCGGCGGTGAGCACTTGGGCTCGCGGCGACGAGAGCAGGCAAGATCGTAGAGATGAGCAGAGCGGAGAGGCGAGTGAGCGTGAATGGTGTTGTAGTGGTGTTCCCCGTAAGGAAGATTTGGAATATTGGCGAATCGAAAGCTCCCGCCTGGGCACGAGGATCGCGGACGGCGTGGATCTTGTTACACTCAAGGTGGTGTACCAAACAGATTTCGTTCATACCATCGTGCAAATAGTGTAAATTGTCATAAAAATAGCATCTGATAATCACAAATTATATCGTTATTGCCTCCAGCACTGGATCACAATGCCCCTTGCACCATCATCGACCAATGACAGCACGATGTATAGGGAATAGTAACTACCGTAAGATAAGACCTCGTAAGGACATATACCCCAAGGCGAGAGGGAGGAGACGAAAAGGGAGAACTGACGCTGTATCATCTAATCAGGCAAACAGCAACGACTAAGTCCAATGCATCACTGCACACAAGAAGCAGGCACTTATGACCTATCTACTTAGGAAACACAACCAACGGCATACGCCGTGCGGGGAGCTGGATACTGAAGGGCACGCAGACGCGCCGCGGAGATCCGCTCAGTCCGCTGCGGGGTTGGCAAGTAGCTTGGTCGCATCCCTGAAGCCGTGCGACGATGCCGACGACGCTCTGCATCGCCTTCAAGGAGATACGCGTATCGGGCTCGGTTGCCAAGTAGAGGATGAAATCTACTGTTTCCCACACGATAAACGGCTCGATTCGAATAAGAAGAGGGTCTAAGGGCCGATGAGCTGCAGGAGGTGCGGCTGCGGCTCGGTGTAGAGCATACCGACGGTGATGACGAGCGGCACGAAGCCGTACTGCGCCGCGACCTTGGCCTTCCGCAGCACCCACGTCGGCCACTCCTTCACGGCACGCGCCACGCGCTCGTAGTCAAACAGAGCCATCGCGACGCCAGACGCGCGCAGAGGAACAGGAGGGATGCTAGGAGGGAGCAGAGGGGAAGCAGATCGAGGAGGTTCGAGGGAACGGAGCTGGCGAAAACGGTGAGTGCAGGGGGTGGTGAGATGTGGGGAGCGTGGATGGGAAAAGGGGCGAGAGAGAGCAGCTGACGAAAGAAGTTGGTGTATGCAGCTGATTGTGCGGAGTGTACCTTTTTAATGTTTGTAGGTACAGTGGTTTCGCACAAACATTTCTGGGAAAATATGCCATTTGTAACCAACGTGGGACTTGATAACATTTTTGGTCAAAAGAAAACATGTACGGTCACTGAAAAGGGTGTTTTTACGCGACTGATAAACCGTTTCACGTAATCAGTCAATATCAAATGGTAAAAAAAACGCGAATGGTCATAGATGAAACTCCCGCCAAAACAAAATGAAACCCAAAAAGAATCTGGTTGCATTTTCGGATTAATCAACCCTAAACACGTAACTCGCCAGGTGTTTAGGGTTGATCCTTTCCCAAACCACATCCCATTCCGATTGGGTTTTAGTTTTTTTAGAAGTTAGCAGATTGGTTGGGCGCGAGCGGGAATTTTGTTGAGTTTCAAGTTTTTTTGGCGGGAGTTACATGTGTGACCATTCGCGTTTTTTTTCACCTGCTGTTAGTGACTGAATCCGTGACCCCACTTACCAAACCTGTCGGAAAACCCGATACATTGACCGTACGCGTTTTTGTTTTACCATTCACGTTATCGAGTCTCAAGTTGGTTACTTATGGCATATTTTCCCAGCATTTCTTCGAATGCATTTGATGGGCCGATATGGATCAGCCTCGCTCACAGGTCGTATCGCAATCACAATCCGGTTGTGCTCTCTGTTGCAAGCCGCCATTGCTTCCAAACAATCATGCCATAGAGAGGATGGCATTCAAGCACCAAGCAATGGTACCTCCACTCCACATACGCACCGATGCTCCTTAGAGCCCGCGTCTCATATTTCCCTACTCCCAACCAAGTGTAATACGCTTGAAACCTGGTAACCACTCAAGCAGTCGCAACTCTTCCGGGTTTGGTTGGGTGCACTTGTGATTGGCTGCAGCCCAAACAGGCTGGGGAAGGCAAATGCATGACTACCGAACTGCATTCGCGCGAAACAGACCACCAAGTGCGACGAAGGCAGAGAGCACACGAAACCAAGCGTAATACCACAGCTGAAAAAATATGAGACAGCTGAACAACCACTTTTCATTTCAGCCCTAGTTAGTTTAGCTTAGGGTTTCTTCGTGGCTGTGACAGTACTGTTTTGTACCCAATTTCATGCAGATCCGGTTCGGACGTCTCATCGTAACGGTCGATCGTACGGCTATTTCCTGCGCGAAAACCAGCAGGAAGAAGCGGCACTAATAGAATGAGACGGAATAGCATAGCAATAGCATATCCGCACCCGCGACAAGGGACGAAGTGGGACGGAAGGAACGATACGGAAAGGGACGCGACGGTACGGGAAGGGAGGCGACGGAAGGGGAAGGGACGCGACGATGCGGGAAGAGTCGCGTCGGGACTGGACGGGACGCGACGGGACTGGACCGGGCGGGACGGGACCCGACGGAACGGGTGGGGACTTGACGGGACAGGACATGACGGGACGGGACGAGACGGGACGAGACGGGACGAGACGGACGGGATGGACGCGACTGGACGAAACGGGACTGGAAGGGACGGGAGGAAAAGGGAGGAGACGCGCCGAAATTGAATGGACGATGATGCAGGACGGGAAGGGGATGGGGAGGGAAGGGATGCTGAGCGACGCGCCTTTCTAGGTGCCGGGTCCATTCGGAAACGGGAAGGGGCAGGAAGGGATGAGACGGAGCTGAAAGCGCCGGGACAGTGTAGGAATCGACGTGATACTGCAAGAAGCAACGGAACTGGACAGGAAGCGACGGGACGGGGAGGAAAGGGACGGGAGGAGACGCGCCGAGATGAGAAGGGACGGGAGGAGGCGCGGCCGGTGAACGGGTGTGAACGGGTTCAGTGGTGCGGCAGCTGCTTCTGCACATCCGGCCCATCCCCCTTCCCTTCCCCCATCCCCCGTCCCTTCCACGTACCCCCCTTCCCACCCACCATCCCCATTTCCCTTCCCTTCCCCCATCCTCTCCCCCTTCCCCGCATCCCCCCATCCCCCATTCCCTTCCCCCATACCTCTTTCCCTTCTCCGCATCGACCTTTCCGTTTCCCCATCCTCCTTCCCATCCCTAATACCCCTCTTCCTTCGCGCATCCCCCTTCCCTTACCCCACCTCAGTTTCCTTCCCCGCAATCCCCCTTTCCCTGCCCCCATCTCAGTTTCCTTCCCCGCAATCCCCCTTTCCCTTCCCCCATCCCCTTTCCCTTCCCCATCCCCCTTTCCTTTCCCCCATCCCCTTTCCATTCCGTATCTACCTTTCCCTTCCCCCATCCCCTTTCCATTCCGCATCTCCCTTTCCCTTCCCTCATCCCCTTCCCCTTCCCCGCATCCCCCTTCCCTTCCCCCAAGCCTCCCTCCCTTCTTCCCTTGACAGGACGCACGGGCTTGGGGCAAGGACCAGACGCGACATACCTGTACCGAGGGTGAATCGAAAGGTGCAAGGGCAAAGAAGTGGCAGAAGTGATGAAGTGGGGGGGCGTTCCATGTGCCTCATGCTCACATCAGGGGCAAGATATGGGTTGTGTCAGCCACACTTAGGTGCTTGTTTCTTTTTCGTTTGTAAATCTCTAGAAGTAGAAGCCTCTATTCTAGTTTCCCCATCATATCCCGGCCTACAAATGGTTGCATATTTTGAAACATGCATATAAAATCGCTATACGGTACATGCGTTGTGCTATTCCTTCACATTACATGTACCGTACTATTCTACCATGAACTGCATACTCTTGGTTTTCAAAACCATGAACATAACTGATTTATTACGTAACTGTACAAAGAACCACCAGGGTCCAAGGAATCGACGACTGACATGTTGTCGCTTCGTTTCCTTGGATTCACGCGAGTGCTCTTCCGTGCGACTCTCGAACCTTTTGTTCAGGCTTTGGTGCATCCCGAGCCTTTGTGATTGGTTCGATTCTGGTTTGGTCTTGTTCAGGTTTCGTGTGATTTTTTCTTCCTCGTCAACTTTCATTTCGCGCCTCGCCAGCAAATCACTTGTCTGAGAAGCAAACCATAGGTATTACGCTTGGAAATTTGAGACGCGGGTTTTAGCTCGCGCGCATCGCCATCTCGTTCCACGTCCACCATGCCTTATGCAACGACTTGACCAAAAGCCCGCTGCCACTCGCGCATTGCTGGCAGCAGCAGCAGGAGAGCGAGTGACGACACGACGCGTGCCTACTACCACGAGGCTCGCTGGCCCAGCGCCAGGACTCCCTTCCGCGAGAACATATGCGGATTTCACCAGCGATTGTGCGAAATGCCTTCGCGAACAGGTATCCTCGGCAATCGAGGGTTTCTGTTGCTGCTGGTCGCGGTCGTACTCGCGTCCTATTGGCTGATCGCCGACGACAGCAGCAGCCAAAACGACCTTCTCGCCGGAGAGAACTTTCCGGGGGGAGACTCCCCCGATGCCCTCTCTGAAACACTCTCGCTAGAAGAAAAATTCCCGTTAAAATCACGTGAATCTTCATTCGAAGCGGAGACTGAGTCACAGCAACAAGAATCGGGGAGGCCACCCCGTGATACTCATTCAAGCCAGCGGTCTGGCTCTTCCCGTTACTGTCACTTGTACCAGGGTCGATGGGTGAGGGGCGCGAGAACACCCGTTTCTCGTTATTACCACGGCGGGGAGGCGGGACTTTGCGTTTGAGGAGTATGGGTGGCAGCCCCATGGGTGCGACGTGCCTGCCTTCAACGCCTCCCACTTCCTCCTCAGGCACGCACGGCCCTCTCCCCTCCCTCACCCGCACCCCATCTGGCGCCCACTGCAGCGCACCAGGCGCTAGGCAAAGCCATGGCACCTCAGCTCTCGGTGCTCGCTCCCTGCACCACCACTTTAATCATGACCCCCCTGTCTTCTCCCTCCCCCTTGCTGCCATGCCACGCTCACAACCTTCACTGGCAACTGGTGGTGCCATGCATGCACTCTCTCACTTGCCACGCCACGCAACAGCTCACCTCCTTTCCTCCTCCCCTCCTCCCCTCTTTCCCCCTTTTCCCCACCTCTCCACCCGCCATGCCATGCGTGTGCCAGGATGCGCCACCGCACCGTGGCGCTGGTGGGCGACTCGCTCAGCCGCCAGCAGTTCCTCTCGCTGCTCTGCCTGCTCGCCCCCCGCCCCCGACTGCTGCCCCCCAACCACACCCACCCAGTCAACGCAGCCAGCGGGGGCAGGGAGGGCGGGCAGGGCGTGGCGGTGGTGGACGTGGGGTGGCGCTTCAACCTCACGTGGGGCGCGCCTGTGCGCGGCACTGCGAGGGGCGCGGCTGTGTGGCTGCCCGGCAGCAACACCACGCTGCTGCAGCGCACCTCCACCCTGCTGTGCCGCGACGAGGCGCTGCCCGCTGCCGTGCCCGTGGAGGAAGAGGGAGAGGAGGAGGAGGAGGAGGGGGAGGATGAGAAGAAGGAAGGGGGGAGTAAGGGGGAGAGTGTGGAGGAGGGGAGGGAGGAGGGCGGGCAGGGGCGACGGCAAGTGAGGGCGGGGAGGAGGAGGCAGTACAGGCGGGTGGTTCAGGTGTATGAGGCGGACGAGTGGCTGCTGCAGCACCTGTGGCGCCTGGACGTGATCGTGCTCAGCACTGCCAACCACTGGACTGCCCACAGGTGCGTACGAGGCGAGGCACGCACGCAGTAGGGCAGCCAGCCTCGATTTTTGTTTCAATCAACACACACCCCTCGTTCTGCCCTCCCTACACTCCTCATCCCCGCTTCTCTATCCCCTATCGCTCCACCCATCTCCCCCCTCCACACAGCTTCAGTGCCAACCAGCGGGCCGTGCAGGCCTCCCCCACCGCGCGCCCCTTCGTGCCGTCGGAGAGTCAACTGGAGTCAACGCCATTCATGGCTGGCCTGCGCAGGCAGGCGCTGCTGGCAGTCATGAGCTCGCTGGCGCTCGCCGCTGCCCGCTCTGCCCGTGCCGCTCCGCCGCTCATCTTCCTGCGCTCCGCCTCGCCCAGCCACTTCACCGGCGGCACCTTTCAATCCGGTGGCCGCTGCGACATGCATGCGGTGAGAGCGGAGAGCAATGCATGCGGTGAGTGCAGAGAGCAATGCATGCCAATGCAGCTTTTATAAGGTATGCCAGAGGCACACCAAGCACTGCAACAGTACGTTGATACGCACTTTCTGCATGTGCATGAGCACAAGCTGCTGTAGCAGTTGGTAAGTGCTGTGCTGCACATATACTTCTCCCCATAACTCCACAAGCATCTCAGGTTTCCTTCTTCCTCCTTCCCCTCTCTCTCCTCCCATCGGGCCCATTCCCACCAGGAGCCCCTCTCACCTGCTACAGCGTGCGCACATGCTGCCGACTGCCGTGATGTCGCAGCAGAGGAAGCTGTAGCGGCTGCCAGCGCTGCTGTTGCTGCGGCTACAGCTGCTGCCTCTGATGACCTTGCTGCCACCATGCCTGGCGCCCCACCCTCTGCCGCGGCCCTGCATGAGTCCGCCTCGGGGCAGCCCAGCATCCCGTGGCTGCGCCTGCTGGACGCCTTCCCCCTCTCCCTCATGCGCCCCGATGCCCATGTCGTTGCCTTCCCCCCGCTCCCCAAAGCACCCCCTCTGCCTCTCTCGTTCATGTCAGAGAAACCGCTGCTGCCACACAGGCAGCTGCTGCCACACGAGGCTGTGAATGGTTCTCTGGTGGGGCAGGGCGGTGATGGGTCAGCGCGGGGGCGAGTGGGGGGAATGACTCGAGACTGCGTGCACTGGTGCCTGCCTGGCGTGCCGGACACCTGGAACGAGCTCATGTATGCCGACCTCCTGCAGTCTGGCCTTCTCCAAGTCACTTGATTCCCTGCCATGCTTTGTGTACGGAGTAGCCACAAATACTAGCCCCTTGTCGCCACAACCGGGTGCTCGGATGTGATGTGAGCAACATCCGGTGCATCACAGGATGCGAAGAAGGAACCCCTCATCATTGCAAATAAACATGCACGAGAGATGCTGCCCCGTCGATCAGACAAGTAAGCCAATCATCAGGCCATGCGGCCCAAGCAACAGAAGGGTTACGGGAAATGGAGAGAGGGAACACAACAAACAAGCTCCCCCCCTAGCAACTCGTTCTGCCCCCTAAGCCCAGTGATGGAGTTCTAGTGTGTGCGTGCGTTTGTTCCTGCAAACTTCCTGGGTGGATTGTGTGGGCGGAGTGTGGGTTAACCCCCCAAAATTTGCCACTGTAAAAGAACTGATACAATTCAACTCATTGCTGTAAAAAGAAATACAGCATGGCATTAAAAGCATCAGCTCAAACTGTTCTTGCCATCTCCAGGAACAAAATATGAGCTCCAGAAGCATCATTGGGCTGAAACTCGAGAGACATGTCACCTTTTCTGGGCGCCGCAACCTGCAAAACGGCAATAGGCGATGCGATTAGTTATGCGCCCAGATTTTATGAGTTCAAAAGGGATGCCGGAGGTGCTGAAGGCATATGCAGGGCATCGCGGGCATCGAGTGTCTCCTTGATGCCACTCTCCTTGGAGGTCACAGTAAGACCGCCCTCAATGCACAGCAGGTACATCTGCCGCCCCCTCTGCAGTGTGTACTCCAAGCTCCTCGCAGCAGCACCGGCCACTGCGCCATCCATCTCCGACACAAAGATGTTGACGTCTTGATTCACGGGAATGATTCCCGATCCCGCATCTTTAGTGGATCCATAACGGTCATAGCTGGTTACCACTTGCTGCAGCTTGTTGTGACGATCGCTCTTGCTGCAAGAATCAAGGGAAAGGTTGGAGCAACGCAACAGCAGGTCAGAAACGGATCATGATGAAATTACAAGCATACAAAGATGGAACAGACGATGTTAGCAATCAAATGCAGCGCTACAAGTGTACAATAGCAATGAGAGAGGAAAGGCACCGTGGAGTGAGGGGGATCCAGGGTTGAGCAATGTGGAGGCGCAAAGAGCTGCATCAAGGTTGATCGCACCTGAAGGTGCGCGAGCCATAGTTGGGCTTGAGACCCCTTGCACTCGGCTTCACCCAGATCTGAATGAACCGTTGCCTGCACGCACGGATAAAGGGGGAGAACAGATCATGCATGGAAAGGGCAAATGACTTAAAGCAGGGAATACAGGGTCAACAAGGCTGAAGAGATCACGACAATGCGGATCGTGTTGATGGTCACATCACATGCACGTACAGGTGGTTGGAGTGGTTCATCTCGGAGTGCGTGACGCCCGTGCCCGCACTCATGTACTGCACGCACCTTCGCCCCAACGTCTCCGCTGTCCCCATGCTGCCAGGCCCGGGTCAAGGTGCAAGAAAACATCACATGATGACAATGGAACGCATTATAACGAAAGTTCTCTACAACGGTTGTCATGAATGGAATCGTGTGCGCATTGAAGCACAACGGCTGGATGGTGGAGGGAGGCGAGTCACGGGGGACGCGCACCTGTCCTTGTGAGTGAGCTGCCCGTCCACGGCGTACGTGATGATCTCCATGTCGCGGTGCGGGTGCGCCCCGAACCCAGCGTTGGGCTGCCACGCATGGTTAGGCGAAATGGCACAGAGGGACAGGGAGATGGAAAGAGTTGAGTCTAGAATGTTCCGAGGTTCAAATCGAGGGGCTGAGGTTCAAATCGAGGGGCTGAGGTTCAAATCGAGGGGCTGAGGTTCAAATCGAGGGGCTGAAGGATAAGTTATGAACCGAGAACGTGAAGGGCGTGTGGGAGGGACCTGGACGAGGTCGTCGTTGAGCACGCGCAGCACGCCGAACTCCTGATTGGCCGGGTTGAAGTACTCCGCGAAGCTGAAGTGGAAGCGCGACTCCAGCCACCACGTGGGACGGGACACGTACAGCGAGCTGCTCGGAATCTTCCTCATGAATTCCTTCGCCCTGAGAGAAAAAACATGGCGTTTTATGAGGATGCCTGCGCACAAGCGAAGGTCGGAATTCCTACAATGCAACGCTAATGACGAAGAGGAAGGTTAAAGCGACGGTGCACATTTGCCACCCAAAACCCAGAACCCTGGCGAACTGTTACTGCGGATGGAAAGTGTCCGCACGAAATCCTGGTTTTCGCCAGCCAGCACTTTCGCGCTGGCAAGCCTGGTTAAAAAAAAAAAACTTCTGAACCCAACACTGCCAAAAGTTGCCCGTCGCTTTAAGGAACTAGGGTCCATTGGACGACGAACTGATCGCTTACATGACCGTGGAGCTTGACCGAATAGAGCCTTCTCTAGTGTAGGCTGTTGTGCGACGAGACGACGAATCTAACGATAAACTTGGTTTAGCGACGGAATTTACGGGAGATGAAAGAAAATGGGCTGACTTTCGCGGGATTGTTACTCTGAAGGCAGTCTTCGCCCGGGTCTCATATTTCCTAGTGTATTACACTAGGTTGGGCTAAAGCGCCTGTGATTGGGTAACGATAGGCGAGATTTGTGACGAGCAGTTTGGAAAACACAGACGACACCTCAGTTCGTCTACGCAAAAACCAAACGAGCCCCTCAGGCATGGAAAGCTCCCACACCTAAAAAACAGATCTGGCAGTTCCCTGCGACCAACTGAAACGACAAGACGAAATTCGCCCACGTTCACCAGGAAAAGCAGAGCAAAACTCTCACCTGTCAGTCTTACAACCTCCGCTTAGGATGGTTCCTACGTATGTACCTCCACATCAAGATGCTGGCCTTAGTCGCTAAAACAGTGATATTAGAGACCATTTCGGACCAGATAACAGGGGACTTGCGAACAAATTCTGGTTGCGGATAACGCACTAATTGGCGACTAAGGAATCGTCCAATGTCGGGAACGGTCGCAACGCCATCGCTTGTTACGAGGTAGCCAGTCCGTAACATTCTGAAATGCGTTCTTACTCTTCTATTTACAGCTGTGGAACCCGGAGAGGTGATGTCGCATTTCAGAATGCGCTCGGGTCGTCCATCTACGACAAGCGCGATTGCGTGAAAGGTCTGTGTGCGAGTGGCATGTGTGTGGGGTGTGTGTGAAAGCTTGTGTGCGTGCGAACGTGCGTGCGTGCGTGCGCGAGCGTGCGCGTGCGTGCGTGCGTGCGCTTGCGCGTGCGCGTGCGGCGTGCGTGTGTGCGCGTGTGCGTGCACGTTTGCGTGCGCGTACGCGTGCGTGCGTGCATGCGTGCGTGCGCGCGCGTGCGTGCGTGCGTGCGTGCTTGCGTGCACGTGCGTGAGAGCAAGCGTGCATGCGTGCGTGCGTGCGCGTGCGTGCGTGCGTGCGGGTGTGCACCTGTTTGTATTCTTATCATTCAGTGCATGTGCATAAAAATGCACAAGTCATTTTGCCACACGTCCCTCAGCCTTCACATCCCGGTGCTCACACCTCCCTTTCCCCCAACTGCCATCTGCGCCTCGAGACACAACACACATCCTTCCCTCTCTCCCTTCCCTCTCTCCCTTTCCTCTCTCCCATTCACCCTCTCCCCTTCCCTCTCTCCCCTTCCCTCTCTCCCCTTCCTCTCTCCCCTTCACCCTCTCCCCTTCCCTCTCTCCCCTTCCCTCTCTCCCTTTCCTCTCTCCCCTTCACCCTCTCCCTTTCCCTCTCTCCCCTTCCTCTCCCTGTTAACTCACCCTCACCCCCTCCCCTACCAACTTTCCAATGTCTGCAGCAAGGCTTGCTTGCCAGCCAGCCCTCGCCACGCGCTCACCCTGCTAGCTTTTCTGCCCGAACTGAGGTGTATGTAAGCAGGGGAAGGTGAGGAGGGTGTGGGTGTGGGCGATGGTGAGAGAGGGGAGGGGGAGTGGGAGTAGGAGGTGGGGAGGTTGAGTGCTGTGTTTAGGGCCATGAGTGTGTAGAGCCCTTTCCTTCTCCATCTGCCCTCCTTTTTTTTCATTTCCCCTACTATGCCTTCCCATCTCCTGTCCCTTCCCTTCTCATCCCCTCCCATTCTTCTCATTTGCCCTCCCTTCCTTCCCATCTTGCGTGCCAGCCTCCCTTCCTTGCATCACCCCTACCCTCTTTTGCTCTCCCCGTTCCCCCTTTTTACCACCTTTCTCTTCCTTCACATCTCAACTGCCCTTTTTCTCATCCCTGGAGCCTTCCTTCCTCCCGTCACCTCTCCCTTTGTTCCAGTTACAAGCAGGACTAAGCTAGTCCCAGGCGAGCCTGGCGGAACGGAAGGGACAGGCAAGCAGCAGATGCACGGCCAGATGCACGAAGGCGAGATTGGCGCTAGAGGAGAGATGTACCCCGTATCTTCAAGATATTGCACAAGTGTATACATTCAATAAGTTCTTTAGGTCAGTGCTGTGCTCAATTGCTACAAACTAAATGGATGCATTGAAACCATCTGAGCATCAAGTGTAATATGCTATGAAAGACAAGAGACTAGGCGGGTTTGGCAAGCCTACTTTGCCAACAACTGAGTTTTGAATCTACGCATTAGTCACAAAACTAAGGATGAACTGGTTCTTTGTGGCGCCATGCTGGAACAAGCACATCAACAGGGGGGAGAAAGGGGGGAAGCAGAGGGGAGACAAGTGGGAAAACAGAGCTGAGGCATGGGAGGAAAGCGAGGGGAGGCATGGCATGGGGAAAGAAAGGAGGCAGGGAGGAATTGGGGAAGTGATTGCTTGGCGGAATAGTGTGTGAAAGCAGGGGAAAAAGGTGAAAGGGTTGGCGAAGTGTTGGCTTCATGGGAGGAGCTGGTAGCACGGGATGAGAGGTGACAGCAGAGGGGGAAGGGAGGTGGTAGCACGGGATGAGAGGTGACAGCAGAGGGGGAAGGGAGGTGGTAGCACGGGATGAGAGGTGACAGCAGAGGGGGAAGGGAGGTGGTAGCACGGGATGAGAGGTGACAGCAGAGGGGGAAGGGAGGTGGTATCACGGGATGAGAGGTGACAGCAGAGGGGGAAGGGAGGTGGTAGCACGGGATGAGAGGTGACAGCAGAGGGGGAAGGGAGGTGGTATCACGGGATGAGAGGTGACAGCAGAGGGGGAAGGGAGGTGGTAGCACGGGATGAGAGGTGACAGCAGAGGGGGAAGGGAGGTGGTAGCACGGGATGAGAGGTGACAGCAGAGGGGGAAGGGAGGTGGTAGCACGGGATGAGAGGTGACAGCAGAGGGGGAAGGGAGGTGGTATCACGGGATGAGAGGTGACAGCAGAGGGGGAAGGGAGGTGGTAGCAGAAAGAGAAAAGAAGGTGATAGCAGAGGGGGAGGGAAAGGGGGATGAGGGAAGGGAAGGGGGATGGGGGAAGGGAAGGGGGATGGGGGAAGGGAAAGGAGGATGCAGGGAAGGGATGGGGGATGGGTAAAGGGAATGGGGGATGGGGGAAGGGAAAGGAGGGTGTGGGGAAGGGAAAGGGGATGTGGTAAGAGAAGGGGGATGGGGGAAGGGAAGGGGGATGGGGGAAGGGAAGGGGGATAGGGAAAGAGAAGGGGATGGGGAAAGGGTAGGCGGATGGGGAAAGGGAAAGGGGATGCGGGAAGGGAAGGGGGATGGGGAAAGAGAAGGGGGATGGGGAAAGAGAAGGGGGATGGGGAAAGAGAAGGGGGATGGGGAAAGAGAAGGGGGATGGGGAAAGAGAAGGGGGATGGGGAAAGAGAAGGGGGATGGGGGAGGGGAAGGCGGATGGGGTTAGGGAAAGGGATGTGGGAAGGGAAAGGGGTATGGGGATCGGCGCGTCTCCTACGTTTCCTCCCGCCAGTCCCGTCCCGCTCCGTCGCGTTCCCTCCCGCTCCGTCCCGTCATACATCCCGTCCCATCCCGTCCCATCCCGTCCCGTCATGTCCCGTCCCATCCCGTTCCGTCATGTCCCGTCCCGTCCCGTCCCGTCCCCTCTCGTCTCGTTTCCTTCCCGTCCCGTCCCGTCCCGTCCCGTCCCGTCCTTTCCCGTCGCGTCCCCTCACGTCCCATCAGGTCCCCCCCGTTCCCGTCCCGTCCCGTCGTGTCCAGTAGCGTCCCCTCCTGTCCTCTCCTCTCCTCTCCACTTCTCTCCTCTCCACTCCTCGTTGCATCCCACAGTATCCCTTCCTACCCTTTCCGGCTCCCCTTCACGCACCGTCCCACCCCTCCCCTTCTCGTCGCATCCCGGAGGTCCTTCTCACCCCTTACCTCCCTTCCAGTCCCTTCCCTCCCAACCGTCCCGCCACACCCCTTCGCGACTCTCCCCTTACCCTCGCATCACGCCCATCCCTTTCTCCTCGCTTCCAGCCATGTCGCGTCGCTTCCTGTAATGTCGCGTCGCTGCTTATCGAGTCCTAACCCTCGCCTTTCAGCCGCGTCGCTGCTTATCCAGTCCTAACCCTCGCCTTTCCGTCGCGTCGCTTCCTATCTCGTCCTAACCCTCGCCTTTCCGTCGCGTCGCTTCCTAACTCGTCCTAACTGCTGCCTTTCCGTCGCGTCGCTTCCAATCTCGTCCTAACTGCTGCCTTTCCGTCGCGTCGCTTCCTATCTCGTCCTAACTGCTGCCTTTCCGTCGTGTCCCTTCCGTCCAAATTCGACAGGGGGGAGCGTTACTGCAATACACCTTGGTCCAAATAGAGTGGTGCATCTTATTGCAATAATGAGGACCAGCTCTGGCGATGGACGGACTATACGTGCGTAAAAGCAAATGCAGGCGCGGAGTGACCAAAGATAAAAATAAACAACGACAACGAGAGGTACAAGGTATTGTCACGTTTGACGCTGGAATAAACCTAGGGAAAATAAGATGCTGAAATGAGACTTAGTCGCTAGAGAAATCGGTGCGAGTATGTTTCTCCACCTCCAACCTGTCTGGGTTTGCAGTCTCGTATTTTTCCAGCTCTGTAATACGCTCGGTTGTGGGCTGTGCGTCCCATTCTCAGTCCGTCGCACATGCAGTTGCCTGTTTCTCGCAAACCCGGCTTGGTAGTCAGGCACCTGCCTCCACCAAACTGTTTGGTTTGCAGCCAATCACACCTGCGCCAAACCAAACGCGAGTGTTTTGCAAATGACGCTTTCGTTATTGCCTTTCAGCTGCAACGCGTATGAAGGATGATTTTTCACTTCAAAATCCCAAAAGCTCCTTAGAATGATTTAGTAAAAACTCCAAAGTTGAGTCATCGAATTTGCGAGCAAACAAGAAGCAATTTCGTGGCAACCCATCAATGGAACAAAACCCGTTTGATGGCGACTGGAAACAAAGAAACGGAAACAGCACGTACAAATCTCGTTAATTAACATTCAAAGCATGAAAACAGTGCTGCATTGTGAATGCAAAGGAGTGTGATGTGGGAGGAGGCGACGTGAGAGGAAGACTAGGGGAGAGGAGGCGACGGGAGGGTAGGCAACGTGAGGCGGAGGCAGCATGAGGAGAGGCGACATTGGAACTCACCAATTCAGGTTGTGGAAGAGTTGGATCTTCGATCTGTGCAGGAAAGAGGAATCAACAACCCTCAGGGTTAGGTACGACAGCAAAATAGACATGACCAGGTCCAACCGACAATCTCATTCAACAGTGCATCCCAGACAAGCAAGTGGGAGAAGTAGGTTTCCAGGCTACCAAAGCCGATTCAACGCATGTAGGAAAAGGGGAATCTTACATAGGAGAAATTGCTCCGAAAATCCTTCCAAAAATTGCGGTAGGAAAGGAATTGCTTGGATGACTGCGCAATCAACGGCATGCCACAAAGGCAGACAGAAAGACATGCAATACCAAGTAAACATAGTCATGGCAGCATTGAGAAAAGCGATGCAAGCTAGTGCGTGGGCATCGAAGAAATGCTGGACAGTGAGGTTTGATCGTGGGCCATACCTTTATACTCGTTATAAGGTCACTGGTGACATTCTCAGCAACAAAAAGCTTGGGATGCCACTCTGCCAGGCTCCAATCGGCGAAGGTTGTGGGATAGCGGGATATCCCCGAGGGGTCATACAGCTGGACGACAGGCGCAGCAGCGAAAGCGAGTTGGAGAAAGAAAGGAAGAGGGCAGGAAAGCAGGAAAGCAGGAGCAGACTGATGCACGACTGTGAGAGTGAGGACTGCACCTAGCCCTGTTCCATGTGTCTGTGCTCATAGTCACATGCAGTATTGCTCATAGTCACATGCAGTATTGCTCATAGTCACATGCAGTATTGCTCATAGTCACATGCAGTATTGCTCATAGTCACATGCAGTATTGCTCATAGTCACATGCAGTATTGCTCATAGGCACATGCAGTATTGCTCATAGTCACTTGTAGTAGAGCATGATGGTACCATAACAGCTGCGATTTTCAATATTCACGAAACTAGTCTATATCCACTCACATGCAGCAGCACTTGAATGTAATGCTCATCGGCGCAGCAGAAGCGGCTGCCAGTCTTCATGCGGAACTGCACACACACATGTGTGGGAGCAGGGGGCGGGTGAGCTCGTTTGAGTTGACTCACGCAGCACTCACGCTACCCGCACTCTAACATTATCCACCTCTCATAAAAATAGAAGGCCGCTCAACCACCCATCACCTTCCCCAACCTACACGAACAAAGTTTCCTAAATCACCTGACACGGCATTCACCTGACACGGCATTCACCTGACACGGCATTCACCAGGCACAGCATTCACCAGGCACAGCATTCACCAGGCACAGCATTCACCAGGCACAGCATTCACCAGGCACAGCATTCACCAGGCACAGCATTCACCAGGCACAGCATTCACCAGGCACAGCATTCACCAGGCACAGCATTCACCAGGCACAGCATTCACCAGGCACAGCATTCACCAGGCACAGCATTCACCAGGCACAGCATTCACCAGGCACAGCATTCACCAGGCACAGCATTCACCAGGCACAGCATTCACCAGGCACAGCATTCACCAGGCACAGCATTCACCAGGCACAGCATTCACCAGGCACAGCATTCACCAGGCACAGCATTCACCAGGCACAGCATTCACCAGGCACAGCATTCACCAGGCACAGCATTCACCAGGCACAGCATTCACCAGGCACAGCATTCACCAGGCACAGCATTCACCAGGCACAGCATTCACCAGGCACAGCATTCACCAGGCACAGCATTCACTGGCAATGATTTGCACCTGGCAGCTCTTCTGGTGTGTGAGGTAGTGTGCCCTGTCCCTCGTGATCATCTGCACGTGCCGCCTCCGCAGCACAAACCACTGCCACGGCACATGCACCACAGCACGGCACACACATCACGTGAGCACTGTGTCGGGCAATGGCAAATGAGCACCAGCAGCAGAGTGCGAGGCAGAGGTGTGCCCACACTCGTGCAGTGCAAGGCAAGCAGCAGAGGGTCACCTGCGTGCAGCTATCGCCCCACCGCCCCGTGCCCCATCTGGCTGCCCCGTGCCCCATCTGGCTGCCCCGTGCCGCACCTGGCTGCCCCGTGCCCCATCTGGCTGCCCCGTGCCCCATCTGGCTGCCCCGTGCCGCACCTGGCTGCCCCGTGCCCCATCTGGCTGCCCCGTGCCCCATCTGGCTGCCCCGTGCCGCACCTGGCTGCCCCGTGCCCCATCTGGCTGCCCCGTGCCGCACCTGGCTGCCGCCTACGTAGTCATCCTTGCGAATGAGAGGACTGAAGATGTGCCTCTCGTAGCGCCGGAACCCCATGCGGTACACGTCATGGTGCCTGCACCGCCAGGGGATAACACAGATATACGATATTTAATCTTCAGAAGCACCGTATCTGACTCCCGAAAGCATCTTGAGGACAGGCAAGTGGGAAAAAGTGGCATGGCAAAGATTATGCAGCTATATCAGGAACAAGAAGAGTCGAGCAGGAGGAGGCAGAGGGGCGCACTCACGCATCGAGAAGGCTGACGTTGGCAGAGGCAACGTAGCTGTAGATGAAGGTGAAGGGCCACAGGGGGATGCACCTGCCGCGGCACGGCAAGGGGGGAAAGGGGGGGTGGAGAGATGAGTGCAGGCACGACTCTAGATCTGATTGAACCCAAGTGCTGCTCGAATCTCACTACTCCGCATCTAATCCCCTCTGCTCTTCCTTGCTGCCTCTGTGACGAGTGCGGGAATTGTTGTGTGGGAGAGGGGCGGAGGGGGCTCACGAGTCGGAGAGGAGCGCGAAGAAGGCGTTGAGGGGGTCGAAGAAGGCAGCAGCGAGCAGCTTCCTCTCCGCCGCCACCATTGAGAAGTCGCCCCACGCCACCTGGCCGCACCCCGGGGACATGTGAGGGGAACAAGGACGGGATGGAAGGGGGAGGGAAAGAGCAAGACTTGCTGTGCATCACTGCTTGCCGTTCGAGTGGAACAACACATGTGATTCAATTGATGCCATGCAACGGATGCCACACCATGCACGAACGCTACTATGCGAGTGCAGGTAAAAATAAGAGGTTTGGAGCAGTCAATCATGCCCTGCCTGTCCCCATGCGCCACACCTAGCCCCACCGCACTCCACGCCCCACCGCTCTCCACGCCCCACCGCTCTCCACGCCCCACCGCACCCCACGCCCCACCGCTCTCCACGCCTAGACCCACCGCGCTACACACGAGGGCTCACCTTGCCGCCTGGGATGAGCGCATCTCGGAAGGTGGGGGAGAAGTCAGGCGGGAAGGCGAAGCCGCGCGTTGACGCGTGCACGTACACGGAGTAGCGCCCCTCGTGGCCCTGCTGGGGACAGGCGCGCGGGGCAGAGAGAGTGAGACAGTGAGCGGTGTGCGGCCGTGTTCAGAGAGCGCGCAAGCTCCATTATCCGACGCTTGTGAATCGCGTAATTCGCACCGATGCGCACCTAAGAGCGCGGTATGCACGCGTGAGGTAGCGCGAGGGAGCGAGGGAGCGGCGAGGCGCACCTGGAAGAATCGGTCCCACAGCGGCGCGAGGGGGAGCGGGCCACGCGTGAGGAAGAGGAAGGCGATCTTCTCCGTCGCACTCGGCTCCACCGTCGGGAACGTCTGATCGCTACCTCTGCCGGAAGCTTCCGACGTGGATTCCTGATCGCTGAGGTCATCTGGATGAACGGAATCGTCTGAAACGGTGGCGAAGTAATGATTGGTGTAACAAAACGTGGTAACCACAAGTAGGACCAAAACACCGACGAAAGAAGCGATCCTCGTGGAGCGCGCGAATCTGGAAGCCTTCCCTTCCAAGGGACCAGTCGGTGGGCCCTTGGCGGCAGCGCGTCTCAGCATTGTGGGAATGGTAGCGCACGGCGACTATGGAGTAGGGAAATGTCAGGAAAGCATCGTGTCAACGCGGAAGGTACCGTGGCGTCGCTACGGCCTTGGCCGAGACTCGAACACCAACCAGCTGACGGACACGGCACTCACGAGCTTTTGACATCAGATAACGCTGTGAGGCCAAATCTAGGCAGATCAGTCCCGAGAGGATGTGCTTTGCATTTGGGGGAAAGATGCGAATGTGGTGGAGGGAAGGGATCGGTTCGCGCACATGTAGCGCGGATATCACACCACGGATTACCGTACGTAATCAATGAATCAAATAAGTTGAGCCGCTAGAAGTAATCAATGGGTGCTACGGTATATGCCACATCCCTATTCTGTGCCACATCCCTATTCTGTGCCAGCTCTCCTAGATCACTTGGTGCAAATCCTCCTCCACTTCACTTGTCACTTCAAATTCCGCATCTTCCTCCCTCCACGTCCTCTCCATCTCCACCACTCTCTCCACATCAAATCCCTCGGGCACATTCACCACCCAATCACTCACATGGCTCACCACACGCTCCATCACATCGTTCCTCACACCGTCTCTGCTCGTAAGACCGTCATCATATCCCATCCCATCCATTCCCCACACCTTATCCTTTCCCTCACGTTTGAATCCATCAATTTGCACCTTTCGTTCGACACCGCTATCAGATGAGGCAAGGGAGGAGGCGATCCCGATGCTGAGGCCAGCCATGGAGTAGACGCGCCCGTCCCACTTGCCCTCGTTGCGCACGTGCCACGTCTTGAAGCGCGGGTCCAGCTCAGCCCCCTGTACAAGCACCACCACGAGGCCGCAGTGCCGCAGGCCCAGCTCATCGCTCTCAGCCCACTCCCCGCCATCCATCTCCAGCCACCACTCCTCAGCCGCCTCCTCATCATCCACACACCCATCCCTCCACATGTAAGCCCCCTCCTCACTCCGTTCCTTCAACTGCTCGCCCTTGCACGTATGTGCTTCATGGTGCTTCAACATGCCGCTGTGCTCCCCATCGGTCACCTCCCCCACTGGCAGCAGCGCCCCTGTCTCGCCCACGCGCACTAGGTCAGGCATGTCACACAGCAGCGCCACCAGCCGGGCCTTCATGGACCACCCGGGGAAGGCACGGCTGCCGTACCCGTGCCTGGCGAGCAGGCTCGGCAGGGAATGCCCTGTGTGCTCCTCTAGCCTGCCTGCTAGCTCCTCCAGCCACATCCACCTGCTGCTGCTGCTGCTGCTGCGTCTGAAGCTGTTGGTTTCAAGGGGCTCAGTGGGAGCAGGGGGGGCATCCCAGTCAGCACCGTGTGTGAGGACGACCCCCAGCACCACACGGCGCAGCCCTGACTGCACCAGACTCACCAGCTGCAACGCCCTCTCGCTCACAACCACTGCCAGCCTCTGCTCCCGCTGCACACATCCCCTTCCGTTCACCGCTGCACCCCCAACCCAAGCAGCCGCAGATTCAGCTTCACCAGCAGCAGAAGCACCACCCTCACTTGAACTACCAGCGGCCGCAACACCAACCGCATTGGCTCCTCCATCCCTCGTACCTTCCTCCCCTCCCATCGTTTTACCTCCGTCGATATACGCATAATCATTATAATCACGCACCACCGTGGTAATCGGCCTAACCAACGCATCCACATCAACCCAAGCAGGGTCGGGCCGCCACCACCCGCGCTGCACAAACTCCCGAGCCATACCGCCCAGAGGGAGCGGGCCGCGGGCGGCGAGGAGCGTGAGGGTGTGGAGGGAGAAGCGCAGGAGGGCGAGCTCGAGGGGCGAGCGCAGGGCCGACGCGGATGCAAACACAGCGGGCCACAGCAGGTCGTGGGGCGCTGTGGTGTGGACAGTACCTGGGGTGACTTGGGCATGGCAGTCTGGCTTGTGCAGGGCAGAGGGGTGTGCGTGGTGCTGCACCAGTTGACCCACGTCCCCCTGGGCGTGCTCAGAGGCAGCAGGCCGGCGGGCTGGGTGGCGAGGAAGGCGAGCAGGGCGCGCGGCGGATTGCACGGCTGTGGGGACACCGTCAGGCCACTGCCCACCGTTGCTGCTGCCCTGGTGCTCTTTGTCATTCCCTCCGACTTGGGCACGTGCAGGCACAGCAGCGGTAGGAGCAGCGGCGGCAGCAGTGGTAGGAGTAGTGAGAGCAGGAGCAGGATCAGGAGTAAGAGAAAATGCAGGAGTGGGAAGGGGTGCTGCCGCAGAAACATCATCAGCTTTGCTCGCAGCGGCTGCAGCAGCATGAGCACCATCATGGGGCACAGCACCTGAAGGGGCACCAGAAAGGGCAGCTGAAGGTGAAGGTGAAGGGACAGGTGAAGGGGCAGCTGAAGGTGAAGGTGAAGGAGAAGGTGAAGGGGCAGGTGAAGGGGCAGGTGAAGGGGCAGCTGAAGGTGCAGGTGAAGGTGGAGGTGAAGGTGAAGGGGCAGGTGAAGGGGCAGGTGAAGGGACAGGTGAAGGGGCAGGTGAAGGTGCAGGTGAAGGGGCAGGTGAAGGTGCAGCATCCACAGGCGCCATGAGAGGCGGGTGAGACAGTGCATGCACGGCACCATTCACATGCACATCTCCATCCCCCTCCCCGTCACTCTCATGGCTGTCATACGCTGCATAATATGCATACTCATCTTCCTCCTCGCCCTCCTCGCCCTCCTCGCCCTGCCACTCCTCCCACCCTGCCACCACACGGTATCCCTCCACAACCCCACCGCCTGCTGCCCCTGCTCTGCACTCGCCAGGCGAGGACGAGGCTCCATGTGCCTGCACCCCCGCTACGCCCGCGCTGCTGCCCTGCCCTTGCGCACTCTCGCCCTCCGCCTTCTCGCCCCATTCACTGTGCGTGCTGCCACGCCCACCCACCACGCCACCACCCTCCCTCGTGCGCCTCTCACCTTCCACTTGCACCCCGCCCTCCCCCCCCTCCCTGCCCTCCCCGCCCTCCCTGCCCCCCATGGCCCCCCCGCCCTCCCTGCCCTGCCATGAGCGCTCTTCTTCCTCTTCCTCGTACATATCCCCTGTTGCCAGAAACCCATACTCGTCCTCCTCCTCATATTCCTCCTCTTCCTCCTCCTCTTCTTCCTCCTCCTCTTCCTCCTCCTCTTCTTCCTCCTCTTGTTCCTCCTCTTCTTCCTCCTCGTCACCATCCTCCTCCTCATCATCTTCCCACCACTCATCCTCTTCCTCCTCTTCATCCTCCTCCTCCTCTTCCTCCCCTTCCTCTCCATCACTCCCGTCCTCACTCCAATCACCCTCACTTCCATCACCCAACATGCTCCCCTCGCCTCCTCTCCTCACAGCCTCCCTTACCACCCACCTCCCAATATCCGCTTCCTCCTCCTCCTCTTCCTCATCGTCCTCCTCGTCGTCATCCCGCTCCCCCTCATCCCAGCCGCCATCCCCCTGCCCACGGGGGTCCTGCCACGAGTACACGCGCCCGTCCCACAGCCCCTCGTTCCGTTCGGCCCACTGGGCCACCACAGGGTCGGCCTCAGCGCCCGCCACCAGCCCCACCAGCACCACGCCCCCCGCGCCCCGCAGCTTCTTGAGGCGCACCAGGTCGGGCATGTCTGCCAGCAGTGCCACCAGCCGGGCCTTCTGAGACACGTTGCAGAAGGCGTCTCGCCCGTACCCATGCCGGGTCAGCAGCGCGCCGAGCCTCTCCTGGCATACACGCCGCACTGCCACGCCCACCTCCTCCACGGGCATCCACCGGCTCGCCCTCCTGTCACGCGCTCCAATCCCCGTGCCGCCGCTGCCGCCGCTCTTGATAATGCTCCCACTGCCATTAGTACCGCTCCTGCCGCTCCCATCCTTGCCATTAGAGCTGCCTTCACTCGACGCTCCGCGGTCCCCAGGGACCTGCTCGCCCATGCCACCCCGCTCTGCGCCCCCCCCATTTCTTCCCGCCACCGCACCAGCACTGCCCCGTGCAGTGCGAGCAGCAGCATAGGCGGCATCCGCGCGGGCCACGTGCGCCTGCAGCGCGGCCACCACCACGCACCGCAGCCGCGACTGCACCAGCGCCAGCGCGCGCAGGTTGCCGTGCGAGCGCACGAGGGAGAATGTCCGGCGGCGAGCCATGGCCTCGCGCGCCTCCACGCTCATCTTCTTGCGCGCCGCCTGCCCCGGCCACCCCTCGCTCACGGCCATGACGTGGGGCAGCAGCGCGACGAGCGCCTTGACGTCGCGCAGCCCGTAGTCCGCCAGGCGCAGCTGCCGCCCCCACACGCGCTGGTACGCCACGAACAGCAACGACGTGGTCAGCGTGCCATGGGCCGCCAGCGTGGTGAGCATGTGGGCGCGCAGGCGCGCTGTGAGCACGTCCGCGGGCGAGCGCACGGGCAGGGCGCGCTCCATCACCTCCGCCCACGACTCCCTCCGCGCCATCCCCTCCCACCCCTCCACGTGGGATACTGCTGCCTCAGCCGCGTTGAGCTCCGGCTGCGGTGGAGCTTCCGCGTTGCCTGCTTTGGTCTTGTCTTCACATGCGTCGGTTGCTGCTGCAATCGGCCCATCAGAGGCGCCACTACAGCTTGTCATGCTGTCCTGGCCGCCACTGGCCACGCCCCTCTCCACGTGCGCCAGTCGCTCCTCCAGCGATCGCAGCCTCTGCTGCATCTCCTCCTCGCCTTCCCTACCCCTGCCTTTCCCCTCCCTCCCACTCTCCATCGTCTCTCTCCTCTCCCTGCCTGACGTCCCACCAGCATCGATGCCGCTGCCGCAGCTACGGGCATTACCATTAGCATTGCCATTGGCACTGCCATTGGCACTGCCATTGGCGCTGCCGTTGCCGTTGAGGCTGCCGTTGTCCGAGCTGCCGATGCCAGCGCTAAGTCTGCTGCCGCTGCTGCCCATGCCGTTGCGGGTGGCACCAAACGACTCCACTGCACTGCTGCTGCTGCTGCTGCTGCTGCCGTTCATCCCACCGCCACCGGCGCCGCTGCTGCTGCCAAAGATGCTGCTACTGCGCGCAACAGCAGCAGCAGCTCCATTCCCCCCATCAGCAATACCACCATCCTCACCTCTGCTGCCGCCCCTCCACCCGTTCTCCCCGCCCGCACCACTCTCCCCCGCGAGGATGAGCTGGTCCCAGTCGAGAGTGACGCCCGCTGACTGCGCCAGGGGCGCGGGGATGGTGCCGCGCTTGCCCTTGCTGCCGTTCTTGCGCGGCCGCGCGAGCAGCACGGTGGTGACGCCACGGTTGGTGAGCTTCGCAAGCACGCCCGCGAACCCCACGTCGCCCGACACCAACACCACGCACGGCGCCACGCCTCTGCAGGCGGCAGGGCGTGGGAGGGAGGGAGGTGTACGAATGCAAGAGAACGGGCAGGAAGGAAGGGCGAGGAGAGGGACGCAGGCGTGAATAAAGGGAGAGAGGATTGTTCAATGCGCTGCACCGTGCTGCACTCATCTCTACCCACTTCCTCCGCTCATCCGTCGCTACCTCCCACTCGACATCCGCCTCGCCTCACCGGTTCATCTCCCGCTCGTCGAGAGCGAAGAGCAGCGCGTCGGTGATGATGGCCTTGTCCGCCATCTCCTTGCCCGCCGCCACCGCCACCACCTCCACGCCGCACGCGCCCATCTTCCCCACCATGCGCGCATGCACCTCCTCCGGCTTGCCGTACGCGCGCACGCTCCGCACCACGCCGAACGCGCGCGCCACGTCGCGCAGGCGCCGCACGAGCGCAGCGCAGTCGGCGCCGACGGGCACGGGGCAGTTCTCGTAGTCCCAGAACACGCCCACGCCGGGCGGACACGTTGCCGACCCCAATTGCGGTTGAAACGAGTGTGACGGTAGCGGAGGGGTGTGAGGGTAAGGTGCTGGAGTGGGGAACGGAGGCGGGTAGGAGAGGGGTGGTGGGAAGGAGGGTTGTTGGCGGTAAGGGGGTTGCTGGTAAGGCGGATAAGAAGACGCGCCGTTTTGGGAGAACGAGGAGGCGGACGCTCTGGCGGAGGATGGGTGGGGATTGTGGGGAGCACAGGAGGCGCAGTCGGAGAGCAGGCGTGGTTGCAGCAACGGGCGGCTGGGGGAGGGAAGGAGTGTGGAGGAGAAGAGGGTTTTGCGGGGGGGGAGAAAAGCCCGGTGACAGGTGAGTAGCTCGTGGTGCATGCGGTCAGTAAGGCGCGCCGATGGCTGTAGTCTCAGCCTGAGACTGCGATGGGTTGAGAGCGGTGCAGCAGCCAGGGTTGTTGGGGAGGTGAGCCGGGTGGAGGGTACCAGAGCTGATTGGCTTGAACAATTGCTGCTTCTGGCCGTGACTAACACTGAGCCAGATGAATGTGAGAATTCCGTATGCGATATAAACATGACCCGCTTATTGGTGTTACGGATTCCCAAGTATGAGGAATCCGCATTCTTCCGAGGTCGAGGTCCTGAAGAAGCAGCGTCGTGGGTACGGCGGCATGATCGATGCACTACCCCCGCTGGTGGAGGCCAAAGGCTTGCGTGCGTGAAAGGATTTGCGTTCGCCATCATAACCGGTGAACGCGCTGTGGAAGCGGCTGTCGAAAAGCTGATGTCTGTAACCAACATGCATCAGAAAGGCTTCGCACGGGCTGAATTCGCGAAATTACAACGCTTATGTCGACTTAATTGGCTAGTTCCTGGCCGCAGTTCCTCTGGCCATCGATTGCGTCGACTATCCTATGCTGGAACCACTAATAAGACCAGATTCAGGTGGAAGTACAAAGAATGCCAGGCCTTTAGCTGCTCTACTACGCCTGATATACTCCTGAAACAGATGAAATGCTGGGAAAAGCTTGCACTGCAGGAAAATTGTTTGGTTTGGGTTTGCTCTGGTCTGATCTGTTGGCGTTGGTTGAGAGATATTTCAGCTTTTTGGCGCAGGTGTTTGCACGCCGTGCAACCAGCACAGCGCTCTCCACTCCACCCCGCGCGCGCTGACATGTCAGCGGCTCTGCACTTTTTCTGGGGAAATGATGTGCTTTCGCGAGGAAATGCTGCGACAGAGGTATGTAACCAGAGTTTGCGAATCGAGTTCCTTTAGGTCCAATTTGGGGTCCAACGAAACTGGTTCGGTTTTCGAGAATCTCCAGCCACAGATGTGCTGCCACATGGACCCGAGCTGCCATGTCCCTGGCGCCTGTTCCCTGCAGTGACACCGCTTGCTCCTGTCTGTGCATGCACTGTCAGGCGCACTAGAGCAGATAGGTTTGGGTGGATGTATCAGCTCCAGTTCAGAGAGCACTCAAGAGTTCATCAGTGAATGAAGCTGACAGATCAAAGCCGACTTAGACTGGGGCAGTCGTGTTAGGTCTGAGTCTGTTCCTTGGTACTCAGCAGCAAAATGGCGGCGACGAGGTGTCTCGTTCAGGGCACTAGCTTGATAGATCATAACGTGCTTCCTTCCGTTAATGCGAAATCGAGGCGTTCAGACGAATCTGTATTTGCTCCTCGTTTCATATTTCTCGACGAGCTCCGCAGGGCCCCCATTTCAGTGAGAAATGTGACCGTTAGCACCCGTTGCGTCGGCATTTTTTGCACGGCATTGAGATCAGCCCGCAGTACTCCCAGACAGTCTCATGATGATAGATACAACCGTCGTTGCGGTCATGCACGGCCGAGTACGCGAGCAGCCGTGTACGATCCTTCGAAAGACCTGAGCTTTAGCTTTGAAGACGAATTGATTGGTGAGTGGTGTGATCCTCTCGTTGCTTCCTTTCATTCGTCTAGGTTTCGTCGTTTTTTCGGCTGCCTCGTCCTTCGTCTTATCTTCCATCGTTTCCTCATCGCCTCTCAGATCCCGAGTCCAACATCACGCCACCCCCACCCCCAACGGAGGGTCGGTTCGAGATTCACGTGACTAAGGAGATGATTCGTAGCCTTGATCTCACCGTCGCACACCAGGTCCTGCGACCGTTCGTCGCACAGATAGGCGACAACACGTCCCCTCCCCTCTCCGACCCATCGCCTCTCCTCACTCGCCGCCTGGGATTCACCATCAAGTACGAAAGAGACGACCCCATTGACCCTCGGGAACTGTCCGAGCTGCCAGATGTCCGCCTGTGGTTCGTCCGCCTGGATGCCGCCTACCCGTGGTTGCCAGCGGTGCTGGACTGGCGAGCGGGAGAGCTGGGGCGGTATGCTGCAATGCTGGTGCCGCATCAGGTGAGAAACATGCCACACCCCATATGAGCCAATTCTGGCTCTGGTGCTTGTTGAAGTCCTTGGGCCATAGGATGCTAAGATCCTTCCCCCTTTCTCTCGTCCTTGACTCTCCTACCACATCTTTCTACTCTCCTTCCTCTCCCAACTTGCCTGTCTCCACCAGATGAGCAAGCGCATGGGTCTGGTGTTCAATCCAGAGGCAGTGGAGCTATGGACCATGAACAAAGCCTTCATCATCCATGCATGGCTGGTTGCCAGAGGGGATCCCCGGCCTGACGTCAGGGTCAAGGACATGGCCAAGTGTCTTGGGTTCTCCCTCTCAGATTCCCTGTTCAGCCTGCTAAATAATACCCCTAAAGTGTAAACCTGGTACCAACTTATTATCTGACACATTGAGTTCTTTGTTGCCCGCTCCATTTTATTCAAATGTGGGGCAGAACAGTCAGGACTCAGAAGACTAAATGACATTGACTGCACTGTGTAGAAGCATAAGGCACTAGCCTAGTTTACGCGCCTGCTAGGACGCTTATCAGAGTTAATTCTGGCAAGAAACATCACATGGCTCCTAATCTTCATGTGCATGCTTTTGGTCTCTGAGCAACCCAGGCAAATGAAATGGGTACAGTGCTCCAGCAGCAACACCATACAGTGCAGAAGTGATGGCCTCTTGTGGGCCCAAAACCACGCCATGCATGAAGCCGATCAACCCACTCCCAAGGCCGAGAGGCACGGCCATCAAGAGGGCGAGGATGGCAGGAAGGAAGACAGAAGGACTGCTCAGATTCCGCACGTTGAAAAGTGACCTGTGGCTCGCTCGCTGATTTCTCTGGCCTGCGTTGACCTTTTCTTTCTGCTTCTCCAGCTGTTCCCCCTTCATCCCCTCTTGGGGTTTTTGCTGCTGCCCCTTCTCTTCTCCGATTTCTCCCTTGCCCGACTTCTTCTCAACCCCTTCTCCCTCCCCTGCACTCTCCTGCTGCTCTTTCTCCTCTTGCTCTTCCTCTGGGTATTCTGGCAAGCTGGGGAGCCTCTTGCTTTGTGTTGCCTCCTCGTTGGCTGCTCGCAGACCAGCCACTGGCGAGTGGTTTCTCCAGTCAGGACCGAATGCTGCAGCCATGTGGTTGTGGTACCACTGGGTGCTGGCGTGATTGGGGAAACGTAGTAAAGGAAAGAGAGATTGAGGGTTAAGAAGGACTTTCAGCAACGGAGTGCCTGTATGGCTTGTACCTGCATTTCTTGTCATAAGTTCAGCACTTCCGAAATGATATTTAAACCATGTCAGAGCCTGCATTTCAAGAAATCAGTTGATCCTTCCATGAATTATTCACATAATGTCAGTGCCTCTGTAACACTCACATTAGCACCTGGGTTTGTGGTAAAGAATCAAGTTCATACCCGCGTCACCACTAAGAAGTCATGTCAGTAGCAGAGTTTGTGTGTCAATTACGTCAATGTAGATGTCTTCAGAGTGAACGGAACATATCAGTACCCGCTTTCATAGCACAGGTGCTTTTAAGACCTCTAAGGCGAATAGATATGTCAGTCAATCCATGTTATTGTAAGAAAATGCGCCACTGCCTAAAAAGGTGATCACAACTCATGTGAATAGATGCAATTCTGATCATCTATTACGTGAACGCCTGCATTTGCGGTACGGAGGTACTTACTTGCACTCTTGGAAGGGGCAATGTCAAAGACCTCTTTGATTTGCACAAATCGGACCTGTGTAGAACGTGTAACTCGCCATCAGAACTTGTGCTACTGCTATGCGGTTTTTTTCAGAACTTGCATGCGGTACTGACGTTTATGGTGACGAACCATGCCACAACCTGGTTTATGGTAGCGCAATATGTCGACACCTGTGTTAGCAGTAAGATTAACTTGCTGATAGTTGCGTACATAATAGCCAAGTCACTGCCTGCGTTTGTGTTAGGAATTGATACATAAGGTTGCCCATCATCAATCAATTCCTGCATTCGGTATGAGATCATGTCAGAATCTGCGTTAGAGGGTAAGTTTGTGTCCATACCTGCGTTTGTGGTACGAGATCATCGCCACTATTGGAACGGCGTAGGCAAGGAAAGCGAACATGACCTCCACCTCCGACATGACCGCTACGGAGCCACGAGGCAGATCCTCAGAAGCCATGGTCGCGCCAACGGCTATAGGCTCAGAGAGTGAAAACGGAGCAGCTGGTACAGTCAGAGGAAAAGTGAATGGAAGATTCCTAACCAGACTAACCAGGTAGATCCGAGACGGACGTCGGAACTATGGCCTGCCACAATATTCCGATTTTCATGGAAAACGGAATGTCATAAGAAGACTGGAATACGACTCGAGGAGAAGGCGTAAATGCGACTTGGAAGTGCGATGGCTCAAGTTACCGATGGTCCAGAGGAAGGAAAGAAATCGACGATAGCTAGCACGGTCGATTTTGAAGCTTGAGGAAGGAAGACAACTCTTGAATCTCCTGCTGGTTGCGGGAGTTTCATTCGCTTTATTGCCTCAATCTGTTTCTAAACCGGAAGCAATACATACCGGTAGGTGCAAGAAACATTTCACAATCGGACTATTATACATATCGCTCTAACATTTATGCACACTTTTGTTTCAACAGAGAATCATAAACATCTTGTAAAGGTTGATAGTGGCTGGAGCAGTCCCCGATTAAATATTAAGTAGCAGCAGTTGGAGCAGCCGCCGCTGTAGGAGCAGCCGAGACTGCAAAGCTACGTGGGTTGATGGTGATGCTCTTGGTGCAGTTGTGTGTCTTGTATATTCCAACGAGATGGTCCGCCAGCTCAAACATGTTGTTGCGCAAGCTGTGCAACAGGGAACAGACACGTCAAACAGTATTGAGAATGATGGTGATACCATGAAAACAAAATATGTGATAGGGAAGTCCTTCACGAAAGCAGGGAGGCATATGATAGGAACCCAAGGAGGAGCGCAAGGGGGTACGATGCGAGCATCTCACCTGATGATGATGAACTGGGCGTTCTTAGTGCGCTCCTTGATGTAATGCGCCACTATGGACACGTTCTTGAAGTCTGCAGGGCATAGGCAATGAGTCACACCGAGAGCAGCACAGGGACATGCTCTCATGCCCAACCATGAAGGTGCATTGCAAGAAGCATCACAGGAAGCAGTATCTCATTGTCGGGGTTCACCATGCTTTTTTGCCCTTTCCCAAATCTTGTGCTAAGTGCTTCCAAGTATTCCCCCGTTCTCTCACTGCACACCCAAGCCAGCACTCACGGCTCGTGTGGGACTCACCAAGAGCGGCGTCGATCTCATCCATGACGTAGAGGGGCGTGGGCTTGTAGTGGTGCAGCGCGAACACCAGCGCCAGCGAGCTCAGTGTCTGCAGCAGCGGGACCAAAACATCAAGACGGTAAGGGGTTGGGCAGTCTCATAAGTCGCTAATGCCATGGCACTGCAGCACTGTAAAGCAGAAGTGCATCAGCACAGGACGATGCCTGATGCCTTGCAGGAAGCATTAACACCCAGTAACAGGGAAGTAGGCAGTGCCGCACCTTCTCCCCCCCGGAGAGGTTGCAGATGTTCTTCCAGCTCTTCTTGGGCGGGCGCACGGAGAACACAATGCCCTCGCTGAACGGGTCCAGTGAGTCCACCAGCTCCAGCTCAGCATCGCCGCCCAGCGTGATCATCTGGTACATCTCCTTCAGCCGCATCGTGATGGCGTCAAACCCCGCCATGAACTCCTCCAGCCGCCGCCGCTTCACCTCCTCCTGTGCCACCCGCACGCTGTCTCGCTCCGCTGTCACTCCCTCCAGCTCGCCCAGCCTCTGTGCGTACACCGCCTCCTTCTTGCGGTACCTGCACATGCACCCATGGCGATGGTTCAGGGTAGATGCAGATGGTATAGGTTTAGACCATGCTCACACACCCACTATTTCTCACACTGATTCCTTTCTGTTCAACTACACATACGTTCAAACACCAGGGCCATCCTCTGACAGCAGGCAGCGCACTCACTCGGCAATGGAGCTCAGGTTGAGGTTCCCCTTGAGTGCCTCCAGCTCTGCTCGCAGCCGCTGCTCCCCTGCTGCTGCCTCCTCCCGACTGGTAACCGCACGGACAAGGTTACCACACAGGCGACCCAACAGCCTTTCCAGCTCACCGTCTCCCCCCTCTGCTGTCCCGGCGTCACCCACACCTCCTGCCCTTTGCTCTGCAGCTTCATCCTCCTCCATCTCCTCATCCTCCCCTCCTCCTCCTCCTCTCTCTGCTGCGCCTGCTGGTGCCGGTCGTGCCCTGCCCTGCCTCTCCCCCTCCTCCTCCCGCAGGTCCCACGGCAGCCCTGCAGCCTCCGCGTCCTCCTCTGCAATGCCCTCCGCTTGCATCCTGGAGGGGGGACGGACGGATGGCGGGCAAAGGGAAGCTAAGAGGGGCGACTCGTACAGAAGCGGCTTCGAGATTGTGTGAAGGCTCACTAGCGTGTGCTGTGAGAGGCAACGGCAGCATGCAGCGGTCCGATGGACTCACTGTGCGATGTGCTGCCTCAGCTGCGCGCCCAGCGCCCTCAGCTTCTCCCTCTGCAGGCGAGCCGTCTCCTGACTCGCCCTCAGCGCTTTCCTCGCATCTTCCAGCTTCAGCTCCACATCCACCTGAGGGCAGGGCAGCGCAGGGCAGGGAAGGAAACGAGATGTCAGTGGTTATGGACAGAAAGGGAAGTTATGAAAAGGTAGTGCTTGATATCCGCACTCCACTGTCCTCTTCCTTGCAATAACCTTAACCATCCACCTCCTGTCTCCCTGTCTCACCTCCCATTGTCCTGTCTCACCTCGAAATCGACAATTTCCTCCCACCTCCTGACTCCCCATCTCACCTCTCCGGTGCGCATCTTGTCGAGCTGCGCCTTGATGGCCAGGAACTCCTTCTTCATGCCGCCATACTCCTCCTTCTTGCCCTCCACTAGCTGCCCCCACGCCATGTCATGTCATGTCATGTCAGCACACGGAAACGAGGAAGAGAAGGGTGGAAACAGGTTCAGAAGAGAAGGAAAGGGAGAGGGAAGAGCGTGCATGAGGAAACGAAGAACGTTGTGCAAGAGCCAAGACCGCCTCCTGCGATGGCCATTCACAACCCCCCCTCCAGCGCACCTGGCGCAGGCGCTCGTAGTTGTCGTTGACAGCAAAGGCCTCCTGCATGACGGCGTTCATCTCCTCCTTCATCCGTGCCATCTCCTCCTCCGCCCTCGCCCTCTCCTCCTCCGCCTCCCCCACCGCCTTCCTCAGCTTCTCCAGGCTGCGGCCACTTGAGGCCACCGTCACCTGGCTCTGGTTGATGCCCGTCTGCGCCTCGTCTATGGCCTGTAACGAAGCACATCGTAGGGGAATAGTGAGGTGACAGGTTTCGAATATATGTGTGCCCTGTAAGTAAGCATGGCTGAGTAGTGTATGGTATGGTTGATGTGACCCAGTACCCCCGTTGTTGCAAGTCCATCACTCCCAGCTGCTCATTCCCTAGCCACACCCAGCACTCATGACGTCACTGCTCGTCCCCACGCCCCACCTTCTGGATGGCGGCCACGTGCTCCTTCTGTTCGCCCAGCGCCTCCCGGCCGGCATCAGCGATGGCCTGCTGCACGCGCGCCACCGCCGCCACCAGCGGCGCCATTTCCTCCCCAATGCGCGCCTCGTCGCCCTCCTCGCCCGCCAGCTGCTGCTGCAGCGCGCCCATCTGCCTCTCCTCCTCCGCGCTCGTCACGGCCGCCGCCTGCAGCCCCTGCACGCGCTGCTGCAGCTCTCCCACCTGCGCTGCCAGCGACTCGATCTGCCCAGGACGGGAGGGAGAAGGAGGGAGAGAGTGCGATGCGTGAGAGGAGTGAACTGTGAGGGGTGCAACATCCAAGGGCATTAAAGGGAGACGGGGTCTAACACAAGCGGTTACCTCCATGTGGACCTTGGGAATGTCCATTCCCAGCCGCCTCAACACCCTCTCCGCCTCCTCTCTCCTTGCCACAGCCGCCCTCCTCTCCTCCCTCGCGCGCTCCAGGCGAGCCACCACCGCCGCCACCTCCCTCTCCGCCTCCTCCACCATCTCCCGCGTCACTCCCCCGCCTGCCGCCGCCGCCGCGGCCTTGAGCGAGCTGCCCATGCGGCCGCCGCGGGGGCGCCCCCCGCCGCCCGCCATGGTGCCGCTGGACTCGAACATCTCCCCCGCCAGCGTCACCACCCGCCTGAACCGCGCGTCCGCGCCGTACGCGATGCGCGAGGCCTGGTCCAGGGAGGCGGCGACGAGCGTGTTGCGCAGGGCGAACCAGAAGGCGGGCAGCAGGCGCGCGTCCTGCACCTGCACCAGGTCGAACAGCCGCGGCACCCCCTCCGGCGTGCTCAACTTCTCCGACATGTCCCGCACCAGGTGCTGCTGCTTGTCCTGGCGCTCGGCGAGAGACGGGAGGGGCGCGGAGGACAAGTTGAGAGACGTGCACGCGGGAAATTCGTGAGAAACGACTGTGCGGAAGTGGGGATGGAGGCCAAGAGGAAACACTGCAGTGGCGGTAACTCGAATTAGAGGGTTCAGAAAAAGGAGGAAGCGCGCAAGGGGAGGGCAGGGAATGAGCAAGGAAGCAAGAGGGCACGCATGGCCGTACCAGGGCGAGGAAGGTCTGCACTCCCAGCTGTCGCTCCCTCAGCAGCGCCGTGCACGCCTGTGCAGTCTCGATGTTGTCCACCACTATGTACTCCAACGCACCGCACGCCGTTGATATTGCCACGTCGTACTTGCCTGCAGGGGACATGCCATGCACGGAAGGCAGGTGGGAGGAGTGTGAGAGACAGGGGTTGACGAGGCCAGCGTAGGACTGCATACCACCATCTACTCCACCATGCCGAACGCTCTTGACGTCACCACACTGTGCCTTTCCTACCCCGCATCCTCCCACTCTAGCGCCTCACCGTCGATGGCGCCCAGGTCACCCAGGCGGCCGTAGATGCCCGGGATGCTGCCGTCCCGCTTCGCCTGCAGCAGCGCCGTCAGGATGGCGCTGCTGCTGCGCTGCGCCGCTGCCGCCTCCTTCATCTCCGCCGCGCGCCCCTGCGCCGCCTCCGCCTCTGCGCGCGCCGCTGCCTCCTCCTCCGCCTTGGCCTCTTCCTCCTTGGCGCTAGCAGCCGCCACCGCCTCGCTCTCCCTCACGGCCGCCTCCATGCGCTTCAGCTGCTCCTGCTTCTGCTTCCGCCCCTCCTCGCGCTCCTCTATCGCCTTCCGCACCGCCTCCAGCTGCTTCTCTGCTGCCGCGTGCTTGTCGCGGATGAGGCTGAGCTTCGTACGCGTGACGTCAGCCTTGGCCTTGGCGGCGCTCGCCTTCTCTTCCCACGGCGCCAGCTGCTCCTGCAGCGGGCCCAGCTGCTGCTGCTGCCGCTCCACCTCCACTGCCACACACATCACCAATGTTAGTTCAGACAGGTTGTTGTTAGTCACAGGGGCTGCCGGGGGAAGGGAGAGGAGGAAGGAGGATGCGATTCACAGCACGCACCTCGGACGTGCTCCTGAATGCTCTCCAGCTTCTTCTCCGCCTCCGCCAGCCGCGGTGCCAGCGCGGCTGCCGTCTTCTCGAGCTCGGGGATGGCCGTTTCCGCCGCCGCTGCTGCCTTCTCCACCTCCTCCGCCTTGGCTGTGTCCTGTTGGGTTCAACACGGAAACGGCTGTATGAGAGAGAAGGCGAGAGGCTGACGCGAGAATCAGGTAAATTACATTCCAGGCCGCAATTTCCGATCGCAGCGGTATCTGCATGTACGGCGAGTGCATTGAGGCGCGTGTCCTCACCTTGGCGATCTTATCGGCGAGCTTCTTGAGGCGCGCCTTGCAGTGTTTGAGGTCTTCGCGCATCTTCACGTCCTTGCGCTCGTACTCCTTGAAGTCCGCCCTCGCCGCCTCCAGCTCCCCGCACAGCGCCTGCCATGGCCAGCCGTGCAGTGAGAATCATGAAGCCAGTACTGGCACAAGGTGACCAAGGCATAGCTTCACTTGCCACGAAACGGATATCCGTTCAGTCGTTCTTCAACTGGCACACCACTTCAGGCAAAACGTCGCAGCTGTTCCTTCTCGTTCAACCCTTCTATCGCCCCTTACCCACGATGCCTCGCGGATCCTACCACACACAGCCGTTCCACCTCTCGCGAATCACCCTTCTCTTCCGCCGTCCCTCCCCATGACTCACCTCATACTCTGTGTTGCACTTCTCGCACGCGTCTGTCTTCACCTGCAGCTCCTCCCGCAGCCCTGCGCACTTCTCCCTGCACGCACGGACAGAGATAGAAGCACATCAGTCCCGGTAAACGCACGTAAGTAAACTCACCCTTCTCTCCTGCCTATCCCTCCCACTCCCCTTCCCTCCTCTCCACGCTGGCCGTCTGACCTTCACCCCTCTGCGTTTTCTTCGACTATTCCCACTGTATACCTCCTTCCTCGCGCAGCTCTCCCCCTATCGGCCCCCCCCACACTCACTTCTCCGCCGTCAGCGTGCCCTCCAGCTCCGCCACCTTGGCGCCCAGCGCGCCCGCCTTGCCCTGCGACTCTCTCAGCGCCAGCGCGCGCCCCACCATGCCCCACTGCGCGCACTGCGCCTCCTTCACCATGTACGCCTCCGCCGCCCGCTTCGCCTCCTGCCGCACCGCGCGCGGAAAGGGGGTTCGGGAGGGAGGGGTCAGGCAGGGAGGGAGCAGACGGGTGGCAGCGCGTGAGGGGAACGCAGGTTGAGGACACAATGCAGGAAGGGAATGCGCGACAGCACCTTCAACCAACAAATTGGCAGCAAAGACAAGTTCATGTTCCTCCCTCTCTTTCCCCCACAGCAGCCACTGCGCACTCCCTCAAATCTCCCCACAGCAGCCACCGCGCACTCCCTCTAATCTCCTCACAGCAGCCACCGTGCACTCCCTCTAATCTCCTCACAACAGCCACTGCGCACTCCCTGTAATCTTCCCACAGCAGCCACCCACTGACCTCCAGCGTGTCCTTGTCCTTCTCCGCGTGCTTCACTCGCTCCACCAGCCCCACGCGCCGCTCGTTCAGCTCCTCCAGCCTGCACACGCACGAGTCAACAACCGTCGGCGCATTGCCACTGCCAAACCGCACGATTCTCCATTCCAACAAGCTACACCTTTCAAGAACGACCAACCGGACAACGGAGCATGAGGGGTAGGGAGGCAGAGAGGCAGGCGGGAAGCTCACTGTTTGGCGCCGGCGTCGATCTGCTCAATGTACTGGTTGGAGCCGATGATGTCCTCCAGGTACTCCAGCAGCCCCTCGTCGTGCGGGCCCTGCGCCTTGGGCTTCATCATCGCGATCTGCTCCACCTCGCCCTGCGCGCGCAGCAGTCGCATGCGAGATACGAGCAATGGGAATGAACGCACTTACCAGCGATGAGGCAGCATAGGAACGACGCGCGGGAACAGGAATGACAACACATTACCGAAATGGCACGCTAGCAGTCACTGGGCAGTGCAAGGGTGCTACAGAAGGCACGAATCCAGTCGCGCGTCTCACACTGCCTTTAGAGCGCGCCAGGGAACGGCCTAGCCACAACGGCATTACTAGCTTGGCAGCGGCGCGCACCTGCAGGATGAGGAAGCGGTTGTTGTCGAGGTCCACCCCCTTGGCCTTAAGCAGCCTCGTCACCTCCGTGAACGTGCTCGCGTGGTCGTCCACGTGGTACTTGGACGTGTTGTTGCGGTACGCCGTACGCGATATAACGAACTCCGATCCCGGTACAGACTCGTACTTCTCGTCATCCTGAAACGACACGACTACAGCGTCTGAGAATTACAGCAAGGAATGATGAGAAAACCGTCATGGCAGAATACGAATACGACCGTCGCTCTCATGCATCTATGCTGCTACAGCCTGGACTTACCAGATCAACAATTTCTTTAAAGTGCACGGATACGCGGGCAGACTCGAGATTCTGATGATCAGTGGAGTTGTGAATCAGCTCCGACACCTTGTTCAGTCGCAGCTGCAAGGCCATGCCATGGAAGTATCCAAACGAGTCAGTTCATGACTGTTACCAAAGGAAAGGGAAATTCCAAACTTTTCAGAAAGCTATCAACGAACTGCACGAAAGGCATTAACGCACGCTTGGCATAGTCATTGCAAACAAGGGACTGACTCATCGTCGCTAAACTAAGCAGCACACTAACCTGCTTCGCGCGTTTCCCGAAGACGAAGAGCATGGCGTCGATCACGTTGCTCTTGCCGCTGCCGTTGGGGCCGACGACCGACGAGAAGCACTTGTGGAACGGTCCTACGCGCTGCACGCCCGCGTACGACTTGAAGTTCTCGAGGACCATCTCCGTGATGATCAGCCTGCTCTGACCGCCATGCGAGGATCGCTCGGCTCCAGATGATGAAGGCGGGCTAGATCCGACGGCTTGGTCATCGGGAATCCCCATAGCTAGTCGTCGAAATAAGAGAGTTCTGAGTCCTACTTGGCTTCTCACCCTTCAGTTATTCAGCAGCGGGAAGCTGCCTGCAGATATGGCCTGTCGTGTCTCTATCGAAACTCTAAATCGGCGCTGAGGACTACCTGTCCGGTGTCCAAGATCGAATTCACCGGCGCGGGTCAACAAGGCTGTTGACCTGACGTGCGCCACAAGGCAATACTACTATATAAAACAGAGTCAAGTGCAACTATACGACTTTAACTAGGGTAGCGTCGTGAGGACGACAACTAGCAGGCAAAACCTTTACAATGACTGAAGAGCCTAAAATGAAATTACCAGCGGGAACCTGTGGAATCGCGGAGACAATCTGCTGAGAAGGATTGAATGGCTTCGGAACACGGCTTGATAGTTCAGCAGGAGAAGAGTGTTGAGCAAGAAGAACCTTGGGAGTTGCAGCGCGGAATTCCACCTCGAGGTTGAATGGCTTGTACACCCACTAAAAGGCTGCTGGGCGGTTCCAGGTGGGTGAGCCAATGGGAAGTATATGGCACCTGCGAGCCAGTCTCGAGGTGTTCAAAATTTCCCGCGCATTTCTGACACTGACAGCGGTTCCCGATAGGAAACTGGCTGTCGCGCTTCAGGCCCATGTCCATTTGTTCAAAGATACAGCACATAATACTTACAACTCTCATAGCATATGGAAGTTGGCCTGGAAACATACACAAAATCATGTATATCAGCTTGTGCTGATGATATTTACAAGAATTGATGGTGTGCATGTGCATGTGGGGTGTGTCCCTTGGTGAGCTGTGCTGAATGGGATAATGGGCCTCATCACATGTTAGCTTCAACCTTCCAAGACACATCTCAACCAAACGTACGTACAAGGGAATTACATTGTCATACTAAAAGAAAAAAAGAAAACAGAATCAGTATCAAGCACATGCCAAATCTCGTTCAGTAGTGATCCTTCAGCAGCCATCCTCCGCCACCCATCCTTCAGTACCCATCCTTCAGCAGCCGTCCTCTGCCAGCCATCCTTCAGTACCCATCCTTCAGTACCCATCCTTCAGTAGCCACCAGCGCCATATCCTCCACCCCCATATCCACCTCCCCTGCCACCACCACCACCACCACCACCACCCCCACCAGGGCAATCTCGTGCCCAATGACCCGACCCCCCACACTTGAAACATGAACCACTCCCGCCCCCTCCCCCGCCGCCACCGCCACCGCCGCCACCATAACCACCACCACCCCCGCCCCCATAACCACCCCCACCACCTGCGCCTCCACCAGCACCAGCAGCAGGACAGTCTCGCGCCCAGTGACCCGAACCCCCACACTTAAAACACGATCCACCTCCCCCTCCACCACCGCCCCCACCGCCCCTGCCCCCACTGCCACCGTCAAAACCCCCTCCCCCACCGTATCCCCCCCCACCCCCACCATAACCACCACCTCCCCCGGCACCACCACCGCCGCCATAAGCACTGCTGTTATACCCACCACCGCCGCCAGCACCAGCACCAGCAGCGCCGCCATATCCCCCTCCTCCAGCCGCATACCCCCCACTCGCAGCTCCCCCCCGACCCACCTGCATGCCCCCCACAGCAGCAGACAGCCCAGGGGAAGCCGGCACGGGCGCAGTGAGCGGCTCTCCCCGCTGCAGCCGGCCAATGTAATCCAGCAGCACGCGGCTCTCAGCAGCGTAGTTGACGGGCTCCGCCTTGACCACAGTGCACTTCACCTTGGCCTCGTCCTGCCACGTCTCCTCGCGCACCTTGAGCTTCACCACCCACTGGCTCCACTGCGCGTTGGCAAACACCTCCCCCGCCCGCAGGTCGTTCTCCTCCCTCCACCTGTTGATCTCCGATGCTGGCGTCTTCAGCATCTCCTCCGAAACTTCCTGGAAGGCGGAGAGCCAGGTCATGCCGGTGTGGTCCTGCAGCTGGAAGCTGAGAATGTAGCGGAAGTCACAGGTGGGCGTGGCACGGCCGCACTTCTCACAGTACCACCCGTCGCCGTTGCTGTCCTGCACCACCTTCTTCTGGCACTGCCGCCCCTCTGCCGTTGTGAGCGGGCACGCGGGGTAGTAGCAGTTGTCCGCACGGAAGTACGACACGGTGCCGCGCACGGAGATCCAGTCCACCTTCCCGCCCAGCCCCAGCCCTTCATCCTTAATCGCTGCTATCAGCTTACGAGGCTCTCTGCCTGTCCCGCCCCCGCCCGCCCCGCCAAACTCGGAGGAGATGACCTGCACGGGCATGGACGCGCCCCCGCCAGACGTGTACCAGGCGGCGAGCTCTTTGGCCTGGGGGATGTCGGGGTTGATGGCGAGCTGCGTGGACGATATGGTGCCCAGCGACTTGCCGCTGAAGTCGCTCACCCGCCCCGCCTTGATCGCCAGCACTGGGTGCTGCCCCGCCTCCACCAGCTCCTGGCCGCGGCAGCGACAGGTGGGGTGGGGAAGAGGAAAAGAAGGGGGGGAGGAGAGTAGTATTCATTTCTGGATGGCAACAAGCTCGTGTCACTCCTCTCGCAATACTCACCTCACGCGATAACCACATCCCACACCCCATCAGCCCCTATCATCCTCTCCCCCCCACAACACACACGCCCTATCACCACCTAGCACGGCCTCCTGACCTGCAGCTGCTGCCCCTCGGCGCTGCAGAAGCCGCCCCACATGGTGAGCTCCGTCTGCCGCCCGGACTGGTCGCGGATCATGCAGGTGCGCTTCATGGTCTCGGTGCCGTTGCGCCGCATGATGCTCGAGTTCGCGCCCACCGACACCACCACGCCCACCACGTCCGCCACGCTGTTGTTCTCCATGCCCGCCACGTCAGCAATGGTGCGGAAGTCGTACTGGATGGCGCCGATGGCGCCGTCGTCGGGGCAGAGGTCGAGCGAGGAGGACGCGTCGAGCATGATCTCCCAGTCGCTGCGCAGGTGGTTGTACATGCGCTGCGCCGGCTTCAGACTGCCCTTGGACAGCATATACACCTGCCCCTTCTGCTCCATGGCAAGACGGATAGAGGGAGGACGGACGGAGGGAGAGGGGCGTCAGAAAGAGAACAGGGAGGGGATCACAGAGGGATGTGAGATACGAGACAGGGAAGGCGGGCTCGTGGCTCAGCGGGGATCATCAAGCCCATCGTTATCGACCATTTGCACCGCTGGCGGTTACAACACCCGTCAGCTGACGCACACCCTAGTGCTCTCCCAGCGCGCCGCACCTGGATTTTATCGAAGAAGCTGTCGACCTCGCGGTTGAAGCACGTGACGCGGATCTCGCCCCCCTCGGCGTCCAGCAGGTCGAAGCTGAACACCTTGCCCTCGCCGCGCGCGTTGTTGTACCGCCGGATGTCGCCCTTGGACGTCACGCGCGCCTTGATCGTCCACTTGCCCAGGTACGGGTTCAAAGAGTCGATCGGCACCACCCGCGCGTGCGCCTCGTTGCGCGCCACGGGCCCGCGCGCGGAGTAAGACGGCGGCGGAGCTGCTCCCCCCCCTCCCCCGTAGCCTCCGCCGCCGCCTGCGCCTGGGCCGCCAGCGAATCCTCCTCCGTGACTAGCGGCGGAACCTCCGCCAGGAGGCCCGGATACCCCAGAATACTGCGACTGCTTCTGCTGCTGCGGCGGCTGCTGCTGCTGCTGCTGCTGCTGCTGACCGAAGCCACCAGCAGCATACGGGTTGGGCGGGCCTGGCTGGGCTGCATTGGACGGATGAGCAGCGCCCGGCGGGCCGTGCTGCGCCATAGAGGGAGCGTTGGACGGCTGCTGTGGCGGCGGCTGGTGCTGCGGGGGTGGGGCGGCGGAGTTGTTGGTGAGCGTGCTGGCGGGGGTGGACGACGGCTGCGGGCGCGGAGGCGGGGCCTGGCCGTCGGCGGGGAAGGGCTGCGGATCGCCGATGATGGCGGCGTCGGTCTTGACCACCTCCATCTTCAGAATGATCACGATCCTGCACGACGCGCATGCGTGGCACACATATGTCAGGAGTCTTGAAAAAAAACAATAAAATATATCTTGATGACGGACGGTTGTATCTGAAGACTGGTGTACGCCGTTGTAATGCCATGCCGCAGCGATGCTGTCAGTACATCCACCTCGCCTTTCCGACTTACTTTTTCCCGTGAACAGTGTTGGTGACGCACTCCGTGAGATTTATAATGGAGCCCTTTTTAACGGAGGTGCGCATGAGCTCGTTCATCTGCGACGCGATCATGGCCCACTGGTGCCACCGCCCGTCCGACAGCATCAGCCGGTATCGCTCCTGCGCAGGTGGCACGGACGCGCTCCCGACCTGTCGCGAGTCGAAAACTTGCAGGATGAAATTGCCATCCGTCGCACCAGAATTTAGAATCTCAAGCGCGTTCGGAGTTAACTCCGACGCCATGGCGATGGCGACGGGAAAGGGTACAAACAACGGTAAACCAAAAGAGGCACGAAAAGTTGTCAATCGTCGGCTATCTAAAGTGCTGCTATGCCTCCTTACATCTGAATCAACAAATCGCTACTGAAACTGAATATTCAATCCTGGGAATGGAGCACGAGGAACTGAATTCTTGAAGTTGCCGCATGGCTTGAATCCGTTTTGTCCTGCTGCGCTGTGCTGCGGATGTTTGAACTTTCAAAACTCAAAACTGGATTGCTCTTCGCCAGACTGGCGAAGAGCTCAGGCACCCAATCGGTTTCGCTGAGGAGGACAGTTACTCGTGACGAGAGTTCTCGACGGCCCAGATTCACGAACGAAAAGGAGGGCTCATCTCTCGCTCGGGCTGGCTTGGCGTCACCTTGAAGCAAGGTAAAACAAACTTCCAATCTGTAATAGTGCAGCTAATAGCTGTCACGGATCTGTGGCGCAATGGTAGCGCGTCTGACTCCAGATCAGAAGGTTGCGTGTTCGATTCACGTCAGGTTCAATGCCTGCTTTTTGAAGCCCTTTGGATTGTGCCAGCCAAATCAAGAAGCATTGTCCCTGAAATCTCTTTTGTAAGGTGAAGGTTAGCTGGCTTTTTGGTCCCCTGAGAGCCTAGACAGTCACCTTTCTCTTCTATTTTGTATAATACTTCCTTCATTGTCTAGACAGGCACTTGTAGACAGTCACAAGTGCCTTCATCACTCTCTTTCATTGTCTGCACATGTCTCTTGATGTTGTTGAGATGAGTGTGGTTTGAAAGCCATGTGTTTTTTGGATCAACACACCTGTACAGAGACCCACCTTTTTTATCTTAATAATCCCACTCTACATCCAAGTGCGTATTTCGAGGAGTGCAATAGAGGCCGTGGCCGTGGCACTTGAATCACGGTCACTGCAGACTGCCCTTGAGAAGAGGCTTCAGTAGTGTATGCTAAGGTAGTACAGGTCCAATTCTCCACTAGTACAGATTTACTCCGCTTCACGTGCATACACACCATTGCCTACGAGACAATTACACCGCGCACGCCGCACCCCCCCCCACAAGGCAGCCCATCTAGAGGGACTCGAGGAGGGCCTTCTCCATGCGGCGGATCTTGGAGCGGATGGAGAGGTCAATGTGCTTGTCACCGATGTCCACCAGCACGCCGCCAATGATGCTGCGATCCACCCGCTGCTGCAGCTGCAGCGTCTGCCCCGCCTGCAGCATGCCTGTCAGCGCCTCCCTCACCTCCGCCAGCTCCGCTGGGGTCAGCTCCTGGAACGAGTGATGGGTTGGCCCCCCAAAGTGCACGAGGGGAGAAACGAACGAGTGCGGGAGGGGCGAGCGGAAGCCAAGAAGCTCAAGAGCAATGAGATGGATGAACAAGGACGAAGAATAGCAGACACTCAAGTATAGCAATTGTGGTATGCCGCTGCCTGCCAGTGACCAACTGGGAAGCACTTGGCACTCTACTTGTAACAACAATGACACGCACGAAACACAAGGACTGACAGCAGCACCGCACTCACGAGGGCAGTGGTGACGGTGGCCTTGACCTGGCCGCGGTGGGCCATGAGGATGTCCTCGTAGGTGGATGCTATCTTGGGCAGATACGACAGCCGCCCCGCCTCCGCCAGCACAGCTGCTCCGCACATGGACAACAAGGGGCAGGTCGGAGGGGGGAGGTGGGGAGAGGAGAGGTGGGGGAAGAGGGTTGGAAACGCGAGACGCCATCTTTTCGTGGAGTAGATGGCAGGCCAGTCTGAATAATGCTAGGGACGCTGGACGTGCGGCCTTCCCAGCTCGTTCTTATAACACTCCTTGTCACAAATCCACTCCATCCAGCACACGCCCTCACCGAGGAAGTATTTGGTGAGGGGCGAGCAGTTGGCCTGCGAAAAGATGTCCTCCACTGCCTTCCCAGCTCGCTACTATCACACTTCGATGCAGCAACACCCCACCCAACCCGTCCACCCTCCCCACCCACCGCAACCCCTCTTACCGAGGAAGTTTTTGGTGAGGGGCGAGTACTTGGCCTGCGAGAAGATGTCCTCCACGGCCTTCACGCGCACCTCGCGCGACACGGACGGGTCGCGCAGGAACGATGCGAAGGTGGGGTTGGCGCCCGTGACGGCCGCGAGCTCGCGCATCTCGCGCTCCACCGCGTCCACCTTCCCGCCGCGCACCGCCGACACGTACAGCGCCGCCGCGTACTTGCCCGCCACGCCGAACACCGCCGTCGGTACCTGCCGCGCGGACGGGGTGTCCGGGGGAGGGGAGGAGTAGGGGGAAGGGGGTGGTGAGGGGGAACGGTGAGGGGGGAGGGTTGTGGTCGGTCAGGCGAGAAGGAAAGGGAAGCTGACACACTCAACGCAAAAGCAACAACCTGTCCTTCCCCTCTCTCTCCCCCCATTCCTGCATCCCCCACGCCAACGACAAGACACACGTCACTCGTACCTTTACATCGGCGGGCGCAGCCTCGGCGGCAAAGGATCGAATCGCCTGCGAAGCGCATTGCGAAAGGGGGACGAGAAGGAAGTGATGAGACGCGTGAGGGATGGAGAGAGAAGGGGATGGGAGACAAGCCATACACGCAGTCGTCAGGAATGCGTTTAGGTTTCGCTGAGCAAGATCCAACGGCGCACAGCCGGTCGAGATTCACGGAAAGGACGCGCTGTACGGAAGATCGGATTGCTGATCCAACACCAGGGGATAGAAGCGTCTGACTCGAAAGCTTAACCGAGGAACGACCTAGGTCGAAGCTACGGGTGGCCGTGGTCCTTCTTACAGTTTGAACGGTTCCAGATCGATTAGCTAGACGACCGAGCGAACGGAACATGGTGACAACGGAAGTGGTGGCGGCGATCACGGATGTGATGGATGTGGAATGGTGGAGCGGAGGTTGCGGCGGCGATTGCGGAAAATGGGTGTGGTATGGAGGGAACAAGTCGAATAAACGCCTCCACTGAGTCGCTCGCTATATTGCTTGCTGAGAAAATGAGCTGTGGAAATTGGCTAGCCTAAGAAGACATTGTGTAAGGCTTATTGAAAATGTTGATCTACAGTGAGTGTAGCATCAATAACTCGCCACGTCATCTAGCCTCAGCCCTTCAAAGGTCTTCACTGCATGCAAGCGCCTGTTTACATTCGTAAGAACTCATTACCGGATTGAAATTCAAATAGATCACAGCCGCTTCCGCTGCATTGTTCCGCCAAAAGGAGAGCCGCAATGTGAAATCAAACTGCTTTCGGCGATGTGTAATCGGTGCCGAAGAATCTGGGTTGTGAAGTTCTTTGGAGCTGCAGAGATCTGAAGCTCCATTCAAACACTCGAAGCATTTCGAAACCCAGACTAAAAAAATCATCCACATTGATTGGCAGTCTCCGTCAGCTTGACGCCCCTGTTGCCTGCCGTTCCGTCCCAGTTCCCGTCAGGGTTTCGCAATTTCCGTCCAATTTTGCTAGGCTTCCCAACCCAACCCTCCTCAGTGTTGCTCACCGATCTGGGTCTTCCAACACCTGCTCTGCAAGCTACCCTCCTTCCTCCAGCCCATCTGCACCTGTGTACCTGACTTAGAAACCACATCGCCAACCATGAGGAAGAAGTTGGACACTCGGTTTCCAGCGGTACGTGCAGCGTTCGTCCTCCTTATTTGCAGTGTGACATGTTCATCTTCCACTCAGATTTCGTGATTTGTTGTCGCGTTTCTGTGGTCTTCAGGCCCGAATAAAGAAGATCATGCAAGCGGATGAAGAAGTCGGAAAGATAGCGCTTGCAACTCCCGTTCTGATATGTACGTTGGAAAGATATTTTGCGTCTGCTACTTCCTCGCGTTTTATGGATTTTTTTTCTCAACTAAGTCTATTTGCTGCATGTCTCCGTTTTCGTATGTTTTCGGGGTTAGATGTGCAGCCAAGGCCCTAGAGATTTTCCTCCAGGACTTGTGTGATCGGACATACGATATCACTTGCAAGCGCGGGGCGAAAACTCTGGCCGCGTCCCATTTGTAGGTGATATTGTACGTTTTTTTGTCGTCCCTTCTTTTTCTGCAAAACATATCATGTATGTATTCTTGTGCTGATTTACTGTAGACCGACACCATGTTGCAGAAAACAGTGCGTCGCCTCTTTCAGCGAGTACGATTTTTTGAAAGAAGTCGTTTCTAAACTTCCGGATGTTGACGCCCCGGACTCTCCTGATGACGCCCCATCCGGTCGCTCAAAGAGGTGAGATTATTATAGCAGGACATCGAAATCGTGACTCTGGTTTTGAGCTTTGTATATATGATTGATTGTGTTTCGTCCTTTCTGCCGCAGGAAGCTGTCCGACGATGATCAAGAAGATCCTGTTTCTCCGAAATTTAAGGTGAGCTGGTAGCTGCTTATTTTTTCCAGCTCGTGGATGTGTGAGTTGTGCCGGGCTCACCAGCCTTTGCTTCTTGCGTTGTCTTAACAGGAATCGAAGGGCACTAACCGTGGTAGATCAAACGGCTGCAACGAAGTGGTGAAGGCGGAAGTCAAGTTAAAGAACGTCAATCCACTCTCAAGTGCAAGAGCTGAAGGCCCCAGTGGCTTTGGTCAAGCTTTGAGGAAGCGAGATGAAGCGGATGACTTGAGCAAGCCAACAAAAAGGTCAAAAGCTCTGTCCGACCAGCCAAGGCCGTTTAAGGTGCTCTGCAAAGTGAAGATCCCGAAGCGAAATGATTATGATGCTGAGGAGACTCCAACTGCAATTCCTGAGCTAAAGGTGGAGCACGTGCAAGCAGTTAAGGCAGAAGCAAGACCAGTCAAGAGGGAAGCTGACTCGAACGCGGAACAAGTGAAGGCAGAAGCAAGTCCACGTGGGTTTGACCTCAATTTTGACTTGAATGCGGAGCCACCTGAAGATGCAGCATGCAACAAGGATTATTGTACCAATGGCCAGCATCCTGGAGAGTCGATTAGCAATGAAGATGAACCTCATGGTGTAAACTGCCAGGAGAAACCATCTGCTGTTGATAGTGGCCCCTGTCAAAAAGCTGTTGTTGATGCTCCCCTCCTTAGAAACTGTGCCAATTACGATAGCGAGGATGACTACGATTGTGATGATGGGGCGTAACCTTGCCATGTATACCCTTAAATCTATTGTATCTAACCTGATCTTTAATGCATATCCCTCCTAGTACGGTAGAAGACCAACAGACTTTCTACCTTCTGCTCCTTCCTAAACCCTCTCCTCCCGCCCTACAGGGTCCACTTGAAAGTCAACAGCCAGGATGGATTCGCTCAAAGGCAGAACATGCTGTCGCAGCACTTGGCGGTGGCTTGGGTGCTTGTTGTAAGCATCTAGTGCCTCCTCTGCGATCACACACCATGAGGGAGACAGAGATTGGGTGCTTGACAAGCGCGTAGGTATGCAGGTACATCTGCCCCTTGTACATGGTCAGGAACGAGGGGGGTGCATGAATCATGGCGCAGGTGTGTGGGAGGCATACAGGTTGACATCGAAAGGAGGGATGTTAGGTGAAAAGGTCAAGCTTGCCTTTGGCTTTTGGTAGGGGGTCTCGGGGAGCAAAGTGTTCACTTTGACCGAGGGTACATAGACCTGAGGGTAGACCCAAGGGTACAAAGATCTGAGGGTACATAGATCTGAGGGTATAGAGACCTGAGGATACATAGATCTGAGGGTACATAGATCTGAGTGTAGACCGGAGGGTACATAGATCTGAGGGTACATAGACCTGAGGGTACATAGATTTGAGGGTACATAGATCTGAGGGTACAAAGACCTGAGTGAGGGTGCATCCTCCTGAGGTGCATCCACCTGAGGTGCATCCACCTGAGGGTACACCAACCTGAGGGGAATCTCGCCACAAGCCCGTGAGTGAAGCCCTTGGCGGTGTCGAGAGCAAAGTTGGCGCCAGCAGTGAGCTGCACGAGGATGTGCGGGTCCATTGCTAGCGGCAGGGCAGCCAGGGCCGCCACCATGGCCCTCTGCTTCTCCTCCTCCGCTGCTGGCTTGGCGCGCAGCAACACCACGTGCTCCACTCCCCTCTCATACGCCTGCTCAGAGTGTGTCGGTGGGGGCAGAGCAGGGAGGGACAAATGGAAAGGGGGGAGAGGAAGGGCATCAGCAGGGGCAGCAGAAGAACAGAGTGAAGTGAAGGTAAGAGGAACGGGGAAGGGGGTGACAGAAGGAATTGACAAGGGGGGTGTGGACGAGGGGGAGAGGAGAGGAGAGGAGAGCGGGGGACTCACATCGCCACGCCTGAAGACACTCTCTATGTCCGCCTCCACCTGGGCCTCGTATGACAGCGATAGGGTGTCCTGCTCACATGCACACACCCAATCACATTCACGCACACACATCGCACACACGCTCACCCCCACCACAACACACGCATGAATAGGTACACAGATACACAAGCAGACAGAGAGGCAAAACGGAACAAACACAAGGGAAGGACATGGAAGACGAGTAAAGGGACGCAGGGGATTGGAGAAGCAGGGCTGAGGAACTGGGAGGAGCAGGGCGAGCCGTGGCACTCATGGTACACGTGGGCGTGACGAACTGCTCCATGGCAGATCAGGTTTAGGGGAGTCGGAAAGAGGGACGAGTAAATTAACCAATGCTACGAAGTAGAGAAAGGAGAGAGAGGCGCTGCATTGCTCACTCATGGTGCACGTGCGCGTGACGAACTGCTACATGGCAGATCGGGAGTAAGGGCGCGGGAGCGAGAGATGAGTTACTGATGCTGTGAAGCAGAGCGAGGAGTAAGGGATGGCGCGTTGAGCACTCACGGTGCACGAGGGCGTGACGAACTGCTCCATGGCGGCCGCCAGCGCGGGCAGCGCGAGGAAGCCCTCGAGCGCGTGGCGCGAGGGGAAGCGCGCGAAGAGCGCGTGGGAGAAGCCGACGGGGCGCTTGGTGGCGACGATGCGGCCGAGCGAGATGGCGAGGAGGTGCGGGTAGTGGTACTGCAGCGAGTACAGGTGGCTCAGCATGTCGCCCTCGCTCTCCTCCGCCATGTCCGCCGCCATGCTGAACAGCGCCACGTGCTCCACCACCGCGCTGGAGGGAGGCGGGGGGGGAAGACAGGAGGGGGCGCGATGGGGGAGGGCGCGATGGAGGAGGGCGCGATGGGGGAGAGGGCGCGATGGGGGAGAGGGCGCGATGGGGGACAGGGCGCGATGGGGGAGAGGGCGCGATATGGCGGGAAGGGCGCGATGGGGGGAAGGGCGCGACGGGGGGAAGTGCGCGATGGGGGGAAGGGCGATGGAGGACACGTCGTGATGGAGTGGGAAGAGACTTGGGGCGAAGGAGTCTCGGGTATGGCATTCTGAAAAAGATGTCGGAAGGCAATGCAGGCAAGATCCCGGGGAATGAATGGAATCCTGACAGCTACGAATACTAAACGCGCAGCGAGTCGCGAGTATTACGGTATTCCTCACGTCATCTTCACGGGTCGCTCCGCCGAGTCCATCTCGCCGTCGCTCGCCCCCTCCGCTGCGCCTGCAGCAGCAGTCACAACCACCCCGGCAGACGTGGAAACCCGCCGGCTGCTCAAGGCCCGATCTAACCGCCTCCACCCGACCAACCCGCCGCTTAGGTTCCACCGGGTCCCGCGCGCCCACCCGCTGCTACCTGCTCCGCCAGTAACGCCAGCCTTGGTGGTGCCGGGGGGTGCGCAATGAGGGGCAGTGCTAGCGACGATGCCTGCGACACGTAGTGAAGCGAGTGGCTGTGCTGCGACTGACTGGTGCAGCATCGCGGCTTTTGTTGTCAGATTCGCTACGGCTGTTATTCGGGTTGTGAGTGATGGCTGTCGGATGAGCTGATGGGGAACCCACCGACTGGACGGTGGGAAAAAAGGAAAAACATGTGAAACCTCACTTCAGAAAATCGTGCTCAGCAGGATTCGAACCTGCGCGGGCAGAGCCCACAAGATTTCTAGTCTTGCCCGATAACCACTCCGGCATGAGCACATATTTGACGAATCTGCTACATTTTTTTATACCTTTAACGTTTCTACCTGCCGCGAAACTGTGGAAGGCTCGACTGAGCGACCTGATGGTCACGGATGGCGCGGGAGATGGCGTGTTAAAACCGGGGTGCACATTCAGCTGAATGTGCATCAAAGGTTATCCCTTGACTGAGTGGGTTACGAGGTGTGCTTTCAACCCCTTCAAGTCGAAATTCGTTTCCCCCCTCCCCCGAAATTTCGTTTCCCCACGCCCCCGCAATTTCATTTCCCCCTCCCCGTCGAAATTCGTTTCCCCCCTCCCCCGCAATTTTGTTTCCCCCCTCCCCCGCAATTTCGTTTCCCCCCCCTCCCGCCAATCTGTTTCATCCCTCCCGCCATTCGGTTTCACCCACTCCCGCCATTTCACCCCCTCCCGCCACCTACGAAATGCCCGAAGCTCTAGCGGAATCATTTTTTTGTCGCCCCTCGTGAGCCAATCACTGTTTTTCTCCAAACCCCCTTCCCAACATCTCAAGCCGAACCGCGTTGAATGTGCACCCTGATTTTAAAGGGCAACACCCGAATTGCTCAACGGAAGTCAACGTGGGAGAATAGGTTTGGGAAAGCATAGATTTGGGTTCGAAAACTTCCCCCAGTAGGAGCGAGACACAAACTGCTCCCAGTTTGTGAAGGCCTCTTTGTAATTCGGGGGCTGTGATTTAAAGCTGCGGTCTACATACAAAGTGATGTTTTTTGGGGGTATTTTTTATGCCCACCCTTTCGTGCGGCCTGATTGGAGAACGAAGTCAGCATGTTTCAGAAACACCGCAGCAGACGAACTCAGACAGGAAACGCGAATCCAGCCCAATTCCGTGCTGACTCGTGGTTTGGGGGAGGGTCTGCGGAAGGGCGGGAAACAACCTGGGGAGTTCGGTTTCGGGCGGAAAGAACCCCAACCCCCTCTCTCCACCCCCCTCAACCGTTAGTTTTGCAGGAAAGGGGGTAATCAAGTGATAATCTCAGGCCTCCCGCTCAAAGTATGTAGACCGCAGCTTTAAGGACATCGAAACCCTAGCTAGGGAGCTGAGAGGGAGGGCCGAGGCGAGATTAGCTCTGTGTGCTTGAGAAGCAGTCCTGCAAAACTGGAAAACGTTGCTCCTCTCTGCCGAGCTTCCACCTCTGGTCCGTGCCCTCCCGAGACCCCCTCTCCACAGCACAAAGTTTTCAGCAGCGGGCAGATGGTGCCGCTAAGGGGGTGGTACACCTAGCTAGGGTTTTAGCAACGATCCTACAGAACAGTGGCGATCTTGTTACGAATAGCAATTACTGAAACACTACTGTGCACTCCTCACCGCAGCAAACGAAACACGCACTACCGAGAGTGAAGGCGAAGGCGCAAGTGATGCGAAGGGTCGCACGGTTACGAAAGCATCTGGACCGTCGGGCAGACAGCATCAGGCAGCAGCAGTGGCGAGGATTATGCCCGGACAGTTTCGTAACTGTCTGGAGTCGCACGGTTGGATTTCGATGTAATAAGGGAATGTACCCCTTAGAGTACATGGCTAGCTAGGTCGATTCAAATTCCCTGTACTCTTATTTATATTCCTTGTACTGCATGTTTTTATTATCTCAAGCATTTACATTCACTCTGCTACCGTATTGAGGTCAAGGGCCCACCACCACTAGATTAGGAGTGTGCGAACCTTCCTGAGGTGATCCTGAGGTCGATCAACTTCTGATCGCAACAGATCTTACGAACAGTAATGCGATCTTACTCAACAATGTCCAACACAGTGACAATTGTAATCGACGCTAGCCAATCTGATGTTATAACTAAAGGATCGTAGTGGATAGGATAAAGTTGCCAAGTGTAAAGGTGAGAACTGTGAAGTCTCTGAAATGACCTTGTCAATGAATTGCAAGAGAACAAGATGATTATAAGATAGAGGTACAAGGGTATAAATAGCATTCCTAGCTAGCCATGTACTCTGAGGGGTACATTCCCATATTAACTGAAATGCATTGCTACAGTAACCCACGACTATTGCTATTCTGGACAGTTACCATGTTGCACTTCGCAACTGCCTTGTGCGGCTACTGGGTAGTCAAGGGTCACGACCGTTGACTGTCTTCGACTGTTGACCTTCGGGTGACCCTCGACCTTCCGCGTGCTCTATATGAGCTCATGCGGTACTGGTACAAGCATCTGCTTCGCTTATGAGGAGACGCGAGAGTGGAGAGCCTTCGGGAATGCTTGTGATAACCTTTCGGTTATTTCAACACAATCAAAATCATCAAAATCATCACTGTACAGAAGTAGGTAGGACACTGTTCTGTAGGATCGCCAACAGTTTTCACGATCTCCAACTGTTCCGTAGGATCGTTGCTAAACCCTAGCTAGGTGTACCACCCTCTAAGTGGGGGCGCTAAGTGGGGGGGCGCTCAGTGGGTGGAGGCGCTCAGTGTGGGGGCGCTAAGGGACACTAAGTGGTGGTGCTAAGGTGGGGCGCTAAGGGGGGGCGAGCTAAGCAGGGGCGCGCTAAGTGGGGGCACGCTGAGCGGAGGCGCGCTAAGCGGGGGCGCTAAGGGGGGGTATGCTGAGCGGGGGCGCGCTAAGTGGGGGGGCGCTTAGGGGGGGCCCTAAGTGGGGGCCCTAACTGGGGGCGCTTAGGGGGGCCCTAAGTAGGGGCGCTAACTGTGCTGAGTAGGGGCGGTAGGTGGGGGCGCGCTTAGCGGGGTGCTAAGTGGGGCGCTAAGTGCTGGCGGGCTAAAAAGTAGCTAGTGGACTAAAACTGGGACCGTAATATCAGAGCCAGGTTTTCGATCCTGGGACCTGTGGGTTATGGGCCCACCACGCTTCCGCTGCGCCACTCTGATATGTTCGTTCGTCGAACTAAAACAAATTCAACTTAAGTACAAAGTCTGTTTTTGAACGACTAGACACCCTTTAGAAAGAGGATTTTCTGAGTTACGCGTGCCTGTCGTGTCCAGCATTGAGTGGTTGTATGTCCCCAGAATGGTAAGTTGCTTGAACTGGAACGAATGAGTACTCCGAAATCCATACGCTCGGGCCGCTAGCACCTACAGCATTGGTACTAAAAGCAAGCAGCATTGCTCGTTGGGCGGGGGGGACATGCACTGAATGAAGCCACACGTCACCCCTTATAAATCTCCCTCATCTCCACGCTTTCATTCCTCTTTCTCGTTCGTCCAGCCTTCGGCAGCGCAACCATGGCGCGTCCATCTGCCCGCTCCCTGCAATCTCCGGCTCACGTCGCCACGTATGTGCTGCTCGCCATCTCCTTCTCCGCATTCTGCGCCGCAGACTTCACTGCTCGTGCCACACAGCTTAGCGATGGCGCTGCCGCATTTCCCGCTGAGCCGCGTCGGCTCGGCGATCCCAAGCTGCCGCTGGCCCTCGCGGCTGTCGAGGCGCTCCTCCGCCAGGCGCAGTTCGACGTCGCCGTAGGGGAGTACGATCGCGCCGCTCGCCGCCTTTTTTCGCCCGTCGCCGAAGTGTCCATCCCGGGCCGCCCACTGCAGCGCCTCGAAACCCTCGAGCAAAAGGCGGCGTTTCTCGAGTCGCTCGCGCCTGTTCCGCCCCCCTCTCCCCCACCCTCCGCAAACGGTACTCTTTTGAGCGGTTTGTCCCCGGTAGTGGCCGCTTCGTTAATTGAGCGCGCGGAGCTGTACGTGCCCAAGTACGATCGCTACCTGGGCTACTCGCTGCTCACCTTCGGCCGCCTCCTGCAGGAAGACGCTGAGTCCGCCGAGCCGCGAACCGGCAAGTTTGTCCTCTTGTGGGATCTCGTCGCGGACAACGGCAGAGTCGCGGCGGGGGATGCTGACGTGGATTCTTCGCAGCAGCAAGAGAGCAACTCCGTCTACGCGTGGGGGCTGAGCTGGGCGTACTGGAACGACGACGCGCACAGGCATGGCCCGCCCCCCTCCCCCCCGCCCCGCCCGCCGCACCCTCACCCTCCGCACCCGCCCCACCCACACCCCCCCGCCCCTGCCCCATCTCCTGCTGCATTTTCCGCCGTTGATGCGACCGTCCGTGACGCCCGCGCTAACCTTGGTTCTGATGATGGCAGGCAACCAACCCACCAGCTCTCGCTCGCCAAGCCTCTGCCTTCCCTCTCCGAGCCTCTCGCCGATCCTCACCCGGCCGACCTGAAGCTGCAGATTCAGGAAGCTTGGACGAATTTCAGCCTCAACCTGGCGACTGCTGACGTGGCAGCCGCTGCCAGCATCTTCGCAGACAACGTGACGCTGCTGCCACCTGGGCATCCGAAGCTCAACCTGCCAGGGCCCCTGGACAAGCAGGAGTACCTGCAGCGACTGGTGGACTGCCACGTGGCACTGGATGTGACCGTGGATACCCTCCTCCTGGTGAAGCTGAAATCCTCGCTGACGCCTGTCGTCCCTCCGCCGTCCCCTGCTCCCGAAGCACTGCCTTTCCAGGACGCTTCGTCCGCCATGCTCCGTGGCTACAGTGTCGCGGATCTTCTGGCCGATAACGAAGAGCTCAATAGCGGGGCATCGAATGGCGATGCGTTGAGTGTGATCACGCGCTCCTCCTTCATCCTCACCAACACCTCCACCGGTATGCTTCTCACGCTCCTCAAATGCACCCATGGCTGAACCCCGTTGGCTGATCATAGGAGATGTTCTTGCAGGGTGCCATTTACTCAGGGTTTTGGGTTCACCCACTCCCACTCCACATCCATCTGTGAACGTCTCTCCTCCCCGCGCCCCCCATCCTTCCCTCCATGCGTTTTCCTCTTGTACCCTTTCCCTCGCTCCCTCCCTGCCTTTTTTCTTTAGCGTCGAGCTCCCTCCTGTTTCTTACTATTCCTCCCTCCCTGCGCTTCCCCTCTCCCTGCCCTTCCCCCCTCCCTGCATTCCCACTTCCCTGCCCTTCCCCCCTTCGTGTCCTTTTCGCCGGTCTGGCATGCCCCACTGCCGCTGCAGGCAAGCATGTGAAGGCGGGTTCTCTGCTGCAGAAGTGGGGCCGCATTAACCTGCCCAACTCCGGCGCGCCCCTGGCCGCCTCTCGCCACCGCTGGTTCTTTGAGTGGGCCATCTGGAACTACCACCCAATCGCAGCTGATGTTGCTGCCATTTAGGTTATCAATCAATGTGGCGGTTGTGGCATGATGGTTGAACCTGTTGCGTTGACAAACGGGATATTATCGGAGTGTGTTAAAGTGTGATATTTTGTTCGAGATGTACTGCAAAGAAGTAAAGGTCATATTCCACTAGATCTAGCATGTACAATCTAGTCAGAGTTGCCTCGGCCCCACAAGTTTTTTTAAAGCCCGCGTCCCAAATTGCGGGCCGCGAGGGTCAAGTTTTTAAAACTTGACGAAGTTGAGTGTCCAAGCTTTTGAAAGTCACGCACTTGCAATTTGGGACTTTCGAAGACAGATTCACTCACCAGGGGGAAAACCTAGGGTTGGCTGGGTCTCGCGAAAAAAACGAACCTAGACGAAATCGGAAACTCTCGCCAAAGCCCACACCAGAAAAACTCCCTCTGGTCAACTTTTAAAAGCATGAACAATTTGGGCCGCCGGACTAGAAAGGTCGCGTTGGTGCATGCACATATCTTTTCTCATCGCCTCGCCTCTGCTGCTTTCCGTCCTCACGGAGTGATTCAGCGCCTTTGCTGTGTCGAGTCCAGCAGTGGGTTGCTCGATCAGAGAAATCGTAGAACCAGCACGTTTCGCTCGCCTCGAGGAGTTGCCTCATTGCCAGGGTCTCTTCATTTCTGTGTCTGAATCAGATCAATCGGCATCTATGATCTGCCGATCCGTTCCGCGCTCAGCCATAGTGTTCAAATTTTGAACGACAGAACCAGTATCACGCCGTCCACTTCTCGCGACTGTCGACTTCGTTCGATTCGACACAACCAGCATCGCAATCGACACGTGTAGGATCTCTCAAGAGGCGGCCGAGACTCGTTAGTTGGTTCGTGCAGCGGCGTCACGGCAACCGCCGTGTGAACATGTCGCCACCGGCTCCCGCGCAGGTACGACACCCCCATTCTGCTCATCTGCTTTCTCTCCTTCCCTGAATCCTATTGGGTTAATTGCGGGTCAGACTGGACTTTCCCCACCCGCTGCTCGGGTACCCTCCGCTACACCCGCTACGTCGCGCGTTGAGTTTTGAGTTGTTCCAACCCTCGCACGCGCGTCTCGCGCTGCGCCGTGTGCGCTCGTCGCCTCCCCGTGCCCCCCCAGGTGCGGTCGCTCTTCCGGACCCTCCTGCGTGAGGCGCACCGATTCCGCAACTACAACGTTCGCCACTACGCGTCGCGCAGGATTCGCGAAGGCTTCGCGGAGAACAAGGACATCGCGGAGGCAGAGAAGGCGGAGGCGGCGTACGAGGAGGGCGTGCGCGCGGCGGCGATGGTGCGGCGGCAGGCAGTGGTGTACAACATGTACGCCGCGCCGCAACGGTCCATCATGGAACTCGACAATCCCTAGGCTCTCCGCTCCCACTCATGAGAAGACCATGGTCTCCGTGCCGCTGCTAGCACAGCCTTGGAGAATGTACACTTCAATAAATAGAACCCTGTACAAGCTTGCTTTAGATAGAGAGGAGCAAGAGCGTTACATTATTGCCATTCGTGGGCATTGTCGTCTGCCAGGCCTGGAGCCACCTTGGTGACCTCTTCAGCCGCCTTGGCCACCAACCCATCCACAATCTCTGTCCACTTGCCAGCCACCACCCCTGCTGCCTTCTCCATCTCTGCCCTCGCCTTCTCTACCTCCACCTTCACTCTCTCCATAGCCACCTCTGCTCCACTCCCCCCCAACTCCCCACTTTCCCCATCCACTGCCCCCTCTCCGCCTGTCTCCCCCCCATCCGCCTCTTTCCCTCCCGGCTCCCCGTCCTGCCCCACCGTATCCTCCTCCTGCGCCTCCTCTGGTTCCTCAGAGTGGAGGTGTGGCAGGCTGCTGGGGTCAGCAGCATGTGCCACGTGCAGGGACACGGCCCTTGCAAGAGCCTCCAGGTGCTCGCCGCGCCGCTCCTTGACCGTGGCACTGCGCTGCATGCGCTGCTCCTCGGGCGGGGTCTGCTGCTCCTGCTGCTCCGCTTCCATTGCCTGAGAGGTTCACACAGGGGCAGGGGGGTGGGGAACAGGGCGAGCGGTGAGTAGAGCGAGAACGGACAGCGCACAATCACGAATGGGAACATGCGGAAGTGAAGAGGACAGAGCAGGGGGCGATGTGAGCAAGGGTGGGGGGCACTGACAGCGAGGGCGAGGGCAGACTTGGCTTCTATATGATGGATGATGTGGTCGTAGACAATGGAGGGTGACACCACCACCCGCTCAAACCGGTGATCCACTGGCACTGCTGTCTTCACCACCGGGTGTGGGTACTGTGCCATGCTGCCATGGCAGTGCAATTAGATGAGAAAGTGGGGCAGTTGGGCAGTGGGAGACATATTGAGGGCTCCGGTGCGTGATCACACCAACACGCACACCACATACGGTGACAAGTAACGGGAAAGCAGTTCAGCCATAAGCCTTTGCGTAATGTGCAGTTCGCATGCGTCATACTGTGATTGCGGCATATGCACAGCTCAGGGCAGAGCAGCGCACCTCATGTGGGGACGGTAGAGCACGTGGAAGAGCCGTCCAGGCGCGTAGAGGCGGCGCGGGTCCTTGAGCTTGTCAGAGGTGGAGATGAGTGCATCCTGCTGGTACTTGTACAGCAGCATGCATGGTAGACTGGCGCACGGTGGGGGGTGCGCAGAGGTAGGGGGTATGGAAGGGAGGGAGCGAGGTGAGGGAGCGAGGGAGTGTGGACAGGAAGCAAGTTGTGGCAGGGAATGCAGGACGACAGGAGCGAAAACAACATCGTGTAAGGAGAGACCGGCAGCAAGAGAGTTACCAGAAGCCAGCAGCAAGTGCGGAGCGAACAGGTGCTGATGTGCGCGCCAGGAAGTCATCCTGTGGCGTGGCGAGCAGGGTGGGACGCAGGGTGGGGGGGCAAATGCTGAGGAAGGGAAGCCGGATGGGATGGGAGGGTGATGGAGAGGGCAGGGAGGGATGACGAGAGCAGAGCATGCAGGGCGTTGGGACGATGCGCAGGGGTATCAGTACCTCATAGCGAGGACTGCAGGATTGCTTTATGCGTCTGCCACGCCCGCACCTGCAACACGACGGAGTTGATGACGTCAGCGTATTTAATGGCGAGGTTGAGTGACATGGAGCGAGCGGGAGCCATGCAGAAGCAGCGCAGGCGCCGCACACTGAACCCCACGTGCTCCCTGCTGGCGTGCAGAATCACCGTCGCCATCGCCACCACGCCGCTGCCCAGCGAGTGCCCCGTGAACGTGAGCGTGTAGGCGGGGTGGTAGCGCGCGAGCATGGTGAGCACGGGCATTTCCTGGTCCAGCAGCCACGCCGCCGCCTTCAGCATGCCCGTGTGCACGAACCCCCCGTCCAACCGCTGCAAGGAGGGGTGGGGGAGGGGGAAGACGAGGGGGAAGGGGAGGGGAGGGGAGGGGGAGGGGGAAGGGGAGGGGGAGGGGGAGGGGGAGGGGGGAGGGGGGAGGGGGAGGGGGAGGGGAAGGGGAAGGGGAAGGGGAAGGGGAACGGGAAGGGGAAGGGGAACGGGAACGGGAGGAGTGGGAGTGGGACGGTACGCGTGTGAGCATGTGGAGTGCGCGGTTCCGAGCACGGGTTGCAAGGGACGTGAGGCAAGGTGGAGTGGCCGGGTTGCATTGCGGAGAGGCAAGGCGAGGGGCAGGAGAAGGCGGAGGGAGGGGGGCGTTGAGAAACGCTCCATAGTGCCACCAGCAACAACCTGTACCCCCACGCCTCTCCCGCCTCCCTTCTTCGCACTGAACCGCAGTTCACGGCTCACCTCCGCGCCCTTTATCTGGTCGAGCAGAATCTCGTAGTCCGCTATTTTGCGAGCTCTTCAATCCGCGCACCACGAGGCAGATGTCGCGCGCCTCGTGGTCCACGTAGATCATGTACGGCGGGCACCGCCCCTTAGTATCCTCGTAGTTGGCGCGGCGCACCACGAAGTCTTCGTTTATGAGCCCTCTAAAGTACGGCGCCACGCGCCGCATTTTGTAAAGGGCGCTGAGGAGGTGGCAGAGGCGAGGCACGTTGCGGAACTCGGAACACGTGGCGAGCGGCCATTGGGCGCTGGAAGCTTCGCTAGAGCGCGTGCAACGACGGTAGGTCCAGAGGATGCAGCAGCAGGGACAGCAGAAGATCAGCGGTAATTGCGGGAACATCGACATGGTAACTAGATAAAGGAAATGCCTGAATGTTATATCAAATTGCTATAACCTGTCTACGAGAGGCAATGTCGGTACGAGGGCCTAATTGCTGACTCTGCGTGTTGCTCACAGCTTGAAGAAGCATTTACATTTTCGTCCTGTGGCTGTTGTGGCAGGACGTAATTTTTTGTCCCACATTACTAAAATAGGAGCGCTTCCCACATTAGAGGGGTGGGGGGAGCAACAGGTGTGGAGTGGAACGAGGGCACCCACGCCACGTGATGCCGTCATGTCGGGATGCGATGCGACGTGCTCTTTTGCGCGGGGATAAATCCGATTGGTGGGTGACTTTGAAATCTGTTATGCAAGAATGAAGCAAAAGAAGAAGGTAAGGGGTGTTCCGAGAATTGAACTCGGGACCTCTCGCACCCTAAGCGAGAATCATGCCACTAGACCAAACACCCACGGCATCTGGAAAGTGACTGTAATTTTTGTACTTTTTTGTTACAGAACCCACCTTTGCGACCACACACTTTCTCGGGATCAACTATTGAAGAATCAGCTCGTCCTAATCGCCGTACTTTTAAAGGCTCCTATGCTTCTCGAAAGCATCGGCTGGGCCTCGCCGCCGGGCTATAAAAGCCGGCATGGCTCCTCTTCTCAAACACCACAGCACCACTTCAGCTATTCAATCGCGCTTCACCAGCGCCTCCCTCGTCGTCCTTCGAGTTCCAGTACCGTGGTTAACTCATGGCTATCTGCGCAAATCCTCTCGGTCGTACCTTTCTTGTGCTGGGCCTCGCTCTGCTCGGCCTATCCTGGCCGTTTATCGCGGTATCAAGGCGCGTACTCCCAGAGTCATCAACGGCAGCCAGCACGTCGAACCTGTTCGGCGGTCTCTTCTCCTTCAGCTCCATGCAGAACCTCGATGTTACCGACGGCGGTGCCATCTCCCTCACGCTAGACCGCGTTGGAGGTGTGCATCGGTGAAAGCAAGAGTCAAATTATGCAACAGATTTGGGTCTGCAGTCAAAATATCAGCGAGCCTTGAAGCTAGCACGCTGACTGCGCATCTCGTTTGGTTGCTGTGCAGGCGCAGGGTTTGAGTCGCGGCGGGCCTTCAGTTTCGGGTCTTTCAGCGTGGACGCGAAGATGCCGCGAGGGTACTCCGCTGGCGTGTGCGCCACCTTCTTTGTACGACACTCTCTCTCTACCCTGCTCATGTCGATCTCAGCCCAATTCGTTCTCTCTGCTTGTGCCATGTGCTTGATGAAGCCATGCAGGGCTCAGAATGTCAACATAGTTGCATGCTGAACATGGAAGCCACACAATTATCTACCCACGAACTCACTAACTCTTCATGTATGTTGATCCATATCGTGTCCCCTGCTCGTCGTCTCCTTCCACCGGTGTGCAGCTGCAGTCAGGCGACTACGAGCATCGCAACGAGTGGGACTTCGAGTTCCTGGGGTCGCCCAACAACTCGCGAGGCATGACGCTGCAGACCAACGTGTTCATGAACGGCCAGGGCGACGAGGAGGTCCTCACCGCCTTTGCCTTCGACCCTGCTGCTGCCTTCCACACGTACACCATTCAGTGGGGCCCGCAGCGGACCGTGTGAGTGCATTTTTCCGTCACAGTGCTCAAAAGCACCTGCTAACTGCAAACTTGTCAAGCTTCACCTGCCGATCATTGGTCAGAACAGCCTTCCTGTGTTTCATGCGAGTATTGGACTGTCATGTAATCAACCTGTTCACGCGTGGTGGTGGCAGGTGGTTGGTGGACGGAGTGAACATCCGCACGGTGAGCAACAACAGCCCGCACTACCCCAAGGACCCCATGAAGGTCTACTTCAGCATCTGGGACGCCTCCCCCTGGGCCACTGGGCCCCGCACTGCCCGCATCCCCGTCAACTACGATTATGCTGTGAGTATACCGTGTTCCTGAAATTCGTTTCCGGAATGGCGCTTGCTGCAGCTGTCATTGCGTATTTACGAGTGTGTTCTTGATTGTGCAGCCTTTTACTGTGACATTCAAGAACTTCAAGTACACCCCGCTTTCTGCAAATTGATGGGACTGATGGTCATGGGGTGGAGCATTGAGTGAGGCAGGGACTGCTGCGACCCAGTCAATGTGCCTGCAATGGAGTCCCATTGCAGTAGTACTACGAGGGTTCTCTCTAGGTGGTACTAGTGTAGTCGTCCCTGGGTTGGGGGTGAGTTTTGTAGCAAAGCAAATGTATCTCTGTATGGCTTATCATAATGGAATAGTAGTGACCTCACAAATCTGCTGTGATAACAAGAGTCAACATCGACGGTGGAGGCTACACTCAGCAAGTGAAGGCACACGAGTACATTGAGCTCAGGGATTTGATGTGCACCAGAGTGCTTTCCTTTCACATAAACAATGTGACTACTACCCTTGTCAACAAAGCTTGTAATTCAATCGGTGGCCACATCATAAATGGATGTTCAGCTGTGTAAACATGGTTTGAGACACTTCACGAATCGTTACTTGTATCGCGAACACGCTCATTCTCCCTCGCATGCGAGCATGGGGGAACCCAGCTGCACCCACCCATCCGCGCAGAAAGGGGCTGAGGGGACATGCAGCATGCCATTGCCAACCACGCTGCGCGCAGCTAGCACCCCCCATGCCTTCCGTGCTTCTGGCATTCCCACCCAATGCTCATCCAAGATTTTTATGAGTGGACTCCGAAGTCTACTAGCTCCTCGTCGCAGAGAGCACAGTTGACAGCCTCCGCCCTCGTTCTCGCTAGTCGCTAGGTGGAATCGCGATGAGGCATCTCCCGCGTTCGCGAGCCCAATGCCGCGCATCGCACCCGTTGCGCCTGCCAGCCGCGCTACTGCTCTCCTGCCTGCTTCTTCTATCGCTACCAATGCTGCCTCGCAGCAATGCTGAATTCGGAACCAAGCATGCTGCCGAGCCTGACACGTCATTATCTTCGGTAGACCCACGCGAGGTCGTCGAAACCATCGCCGAGTCGCTGAGCGATTTCGCCGCCGCCGTGAATTCCGGGGATGCGTGCGGCATTCTGGACTTCTTCCCCGAAACTTCGTCGATCCTTCCTCCTCATTCCCCGGAGCTGCTTCTCAATGTGAGCGCGCTGCGGCTGAGCCTCGTGCAGCAGCTGCTGGCGCTCGACATTAGATTGCGCTTTAATGTCCTCGAGGCCTGGGTGGGCAAGGGCGACCCGGGGAAAGTCAGAGACGCGATCGGGACACTAGGAACGCGAAGAGATCCGGCGACAGGGGCAGCGACAGCGACTGCGCAGCAGCAGCAGCAGAGGGGGGAGGAGACAGAGGAAGAGGAAGAAGAGGAAGAGGCGGAAGAAGAGGAGGGCGTGGAGGGCAGTGCGGCGGGTGAGGAAGGCGCGGGCGTGCTGCGAGGCGGTGACCTGTTCGCCGTGGCTCGCATCGCATTCACTGCAAACTGCCTTGGCGCGACTCGGCGGAGCGGCCAGGCGGAGCAAGGAGGCAAGCGAACTTCAGGCGGCGAGGAGGTCGAGGAAACACGCGAGGAAGCTTCCGTGTGCGAATCAGCGTGCGTGGAGGGGTCCATTCTGGCCACGTGGCACAGATCTGCTGAGCTGGCGTGCAGCGGGGTTAAGGCGACGAGCCCTGAGAGCGGGGGCATTGAGGGCGAGAGCATACCTGGGTGCCGTGCACGAGGGGCACGCAATGACCACTCCAAGGTGTGGCGCCTCCACTGGGCCGCCTGGAACCACGCCAACCGCACCTGCCAGAACCGCAGAGCACCGCATTCCAGCGCTTGGGGCGATGCAAAGGGGTTGGTGCAGGCAGGGAGTGAGGGTAAGGCTGGCAGGAAGGGCATGCGGCAGCTGCTGGTGACGCCACAAGCCACCGCTTGGCTCACTGCTGGTCCTGCTGATGTCAGCAACGAGGGGGGCGACGTGAGCAGCAGTGCAGTGCAGGCTCAGGAGAGTGAGGGGTTGGGCGAGAGGAGTGGTGGTGAGGCGGTGGAGGGTGGTTGTGCGCAGTGGAAGGTGGAGGCTGCGTTGGCAGCACTCACAGTGGCGCTGCTCAACGGCAATGCCACTGCCGCTGCACAGATATTCGCCCCAGGTGCCGTGCTCTTCCCCCCGGCCTCCCTGCCGCTGCACACCGCTGCACAGGCGGCGGCGTGGCTGCAGCCAATCACGGGCCGCCGCCTCATCTTCCAGCCTCAATTGGAGGAGCTGCTCGTGCTGCAGGCTGCCACGTGGCATGCTCTAGAGGGTGACACGTGGCATGCCACGGCGCTCCAGGCAGCAGCAGCAGGCGGAGTGGGGTCATCACCGACCGTGGTGGTGACACGAGGCGTGTACCGGCTGTGGGAGCTCAACGGTAAGCCTCCTGCCTGCCTGCGCTCTACTTGTGTCTGCTGCCACCATTTCTTGTCCTGCTTGCCTCGTTACCGCTTTGAGCCATAGCGCTTACTGTTCACCTTGTGTGTGTGGGTGGCGGGGCATGGGTGCAGGGCTGGAGGAGGGGCAGGGCAAGTTCGTGCTGCTGTGGGAGAGCAGCAGTGAGGGCGACACCACTGCAGCGCTGCACCACAGCAGCAGCAGAAGCAGCAGCAGGGGCGGCAGCAGGGAGGAGGTGATTTCCGCGGCACTCCAGAAGGGAGATCAGAGAGCGAGTTACGAGTCCTCAAGGGAGGGTGCAGAGGTTTCAGCATCGCAAGAGAGGGAGCCATACTGCTCCTCCTTCCGCGTCACCAGAGCCCTCTGGAACTCCGACGTCCCTGCTGTGCCCCCCACCCCTTCCCCCGCATCCCCGCCCTCCCCGCCCTCCCCCCCTTCCCCCCCTGCCCCTGCCTCCCCTCCTCCGCCTCCCCTTTCCCCTCCTCCGCCCCCGGGCCCCAAACGACCCCCCCCTCCCCCTCGTGCTCCCGGCAAGTCCCCCCCACCGCCTCCCACTGCTCGCCCCCCTCCCCCTCGCCGCCGCTCCCCTCCCCCCCCTCCACGGCCGTGAGCAGCTGCGGGGGTACTGAGGAGAGCAGTGTACGGAGTGAAAGAGAAAGAGCACAGAGAAGGCTGCAAGAAGTGGGCGGAGGTGAAAGAGAAGCGTGTGTGGCAGTAGTCGTATCAGCATGGTGACTGCTGGTCTGTCTGTGCAAGACATGGTAGTTGCTGCTGCAAGCACCAAGCTTGTGGACTCAAGGCAATGATATACCGTATCAGTAGCAGATCCTTTTTTCAGGGAACGCAGGGGTATTCTGGACGTTGATTTAGTTGCTAAGAGGCGCATATTGGCCTGTGATTATGTACTATAGCGGGAAGCTGATCATTGAGGAAGGCTGTGTTGTGTGTGCATTTCCAAGTCACTGCATCTCAGATTGGTGTGAGAGAGACCGAGTCACTGAGAGCTGTGTGTGTGTGAGGAGTGCATGAACGTGAATGGTCATGATCATCAAACAAGCACCTGTTATACAAGCCATGATCCCACTGAATGGCAGTGGCTCTGCGCTGCGGGCAGCATTGGTGGAAGCTTGCCTTGCCTTGCAGGCATTTATTACATAAACTCCACTCCATACATCAGCTCTTACACACAACTCTGTGAGCATGGTTGAACCAGCCTTCACATGGCATGACCACAGGCAAGCCCCACAGTAACTTACGATAATTACATGCACAGCAGCATTCGCTGTCTTGCTTTCTAGATTCACGGTCACAGGGCCCCCCATCCTCTCGGCTCGGCTACCATGCAAGTGCAGCGATGCTGGCATGCACATGGTGAGGAAACAGCCCCACCGGGTCAAAGCGTCACACACCCCCCTCCTCTGTGCTACCCTGCAAGGCAGCGATGGTACTAGTGTGCACATCCCCACGGAGGCAGCCCCACGGTAGCTAACACCACACCACGCGCCACAGCTCCTCCTCTACCCTGCGAGTGCAGCGATGGTGGTCTCCACATAGTCGAGGGGCAGCCCCACGGTATCCAGAGCCACGCGCCACAGCTCCTCCGCAACCCTCTCGTTGCACCCTCTTGTGAAACGTCACACCCCCCCCCTTCCTGCGTGCTACCCTGCGACTGCAGCGAGGGTGGACGGCACATAGTCAGCAGGCAGCCCCACGGTATCCATCGCCACGCGCCACAGCTCCTCTGCTGCCCTCTCGTTGCGCCCGTGCGCTGCCACCTCCCCCCGCCGCCCGTCCAGGTCAAAGTAGGGCCCGGACAGCAAGCCTTGGTCGCGCACCGCCCTAGCTTGCTCGCCCACTGCCGCGTGTGTGGCGCAGTACAGGGGCGCCAGCGCACCTGGGGGGCAGTAGACGGGGTTCGGGGAGGGACGGAAAGGGGGGTTGGGGGATTTCATTTCTTCAAGGAGGTCTGGAAGTGTGAGGCAAGGAGGAAAGGACGAGAGGAAGAGGACAGGTAGGAGGTTAGGAGGGACGGAGTGGCAGAGGCACAGAACTGTGCATGTCTACAATATTCAGCGTGTCGCACAAGGGATATTGATCCATCCCCACTGCATCCATGCACGCACGCAGATTGACATGCGTGGGGTACAGAGGGCGGGTGGGTGGGCATACCCTGCCAGGGTTCGAGAAGCAGTGCGTGCATGATGGCACGTTGTAGCTCCTGGATGATCTTGGGGAGAGTGCGCGCCTGCATGGGGTCACAGGGAGGAGTGGGGGGAGAAGTTGTATTTTGACTTGACTCAAAGTACACCTGAAGCAGGGCGTGCATGACAGCACGTTGCAGCTCCTGGATGAACCTGGGGAGAGTGCGCGCCTGCATGGGGTCACGGGCAGGAGGGGAACGAGCGATAGAATAGCGCTGCCACTCTGGGAATACGAGCGTCGCAGCTGGCGAACCATTAGAGTAGAGAGGGGAAAAAGGTGGGGTGCATACACTGTTGCGTGCAGCAGATGGAGTGTGCGTTGGGGCGATGAGTCTCAGCACGTTGCTGAGCACCTCCCATTCTAGGAAAGGAATGGACGATTCACAGCAAGCCTCCTAGCAGAGGAAAGGTAGCGAGAACTAAAGCAGGAAAGGCATGGACGATTCAGAACTAAACTAAGCCAAACCAGAGGAGAAGTAGCGGAAACGAGTAAACTTGTGAGAATGCAAGACAAAAGGTGTGGGTGTGTGCGAGTGAGGGTGCAGGGGACTGACCACGTTGGTGAGCACCTCCCCCGGGTGCACCGCCACCACGTCTATGTGTGCACTGGCTGGCAGGCGGCGCTGCAGCACGTTCGTCAGCATCAGCTGAGGCAGGGCACGCAGGGGAGGCATATCGGGGAAGATGGGGGGAGGGAAAGGAATGGGTTTGGGAAGCAGGAAGGTGGGTCGCAGAGGGAGCAAGAGAAGAGAAGAAGACGGCTAACAGGTGTAGAGATGACAAGGCTAGGTAAGAGACAGCACGTGAACACGCATGCAAGGAAGGGAGGGAGGGAGGGAAAGAGCGAGGGAGGGTGGGAGGGAGCGCACCTGAGCGAGCTTGCTCTGGTTGTAGGCGGCGGTGGCATTAAAGCGGCGGGTGCGCCCCTTGAAGCTCAGATCGCCCACGTCCAGATCGCCCCATGCATGCATCTGGTGGGGGGGAAGGACGACGAGGAGAGAAACGGGTAAGAAGGTGCGTTTCCCTTGCGGTGACACAAGGGGACGGATCTACTCAATGCATAGGATTCGTCACCGCTATGTGCTCCTCCAACCCGTCCGCCGTCAGCCGCTGGGGGGCTGGAGGGGGGAATGGAAGAGATAAGAAGGTAGGGACAAGAGGTGAGGTGAGGAGGGAGGAGGGAGGAGCAGAATACAAGTTCAGGTTGCGTGTATCGACGCACCCTGCCAGGTCAACAAGCAACGGCGGCGAGGCACGGCCCTCGGCGGGCGCACCTCCCATGGAGAAAATGCCCGCATTGTTCACGAGCACGTGCAGCGGACGCGCCTCCGCCTCCCACGCGCGCGCGAATTCGCGCACCGACGCGAGCGACTCGAGGTCCACCTGGCGCACCTCCGCGCTCACGTCGCCCGCCTCCCTCTGCCACGCCGCGATTAGCTTGCTGGCGGCGTCCGGCCGCCGGCACGCCAGCACGACGTGCGCACCCGCTAAGACTAGCTGCCTGCGGAACGGGTGGGGGAGCGCAGCGGAAGCAGGTGAGGGGAGGGATTCAGCTGGCAGTTGCGAGGACGAGTGGCTGCGGGGCCCGCAGGATCCGGCAGGATTCGCAAGTGCTCACTTGGCGATCTCGAGGCCAATGCCGCTAGTGGGTCCCGTGACGATGACGGTCTTGCCGCGAATGCTGGGGTCGCACGCCCACTCTGCGATCCCCCGTCGCTTGATCATGCGTCGCTGTACGATGATCTCCCACACGATGCGAATACATGCGACGATCTGCTGCCATAGGCCGACCCTGATGCGCGCCAATGCCATGGCGACGCGACGACCCTCCCCTTACGAGATTATTTGGACAGAAAGAGGGGTGCCATCGCGGAAAAGGAAAATGTCGAATGTGGGGGTCCGAAGGTTTTTCTACGAAGAACCTGCGTCTTAGTTGCGCTAAGTGTCCAAAAAACAACACACGCAAAATGCTGCATTCCGTACACCAGTACAGGATGTTTTCACGGCCGCAAAACTGTCACCCGAAAGTTGCATTCCCGTCAATATTTTCGCGTCAATCGTTTTCGCGCGGTCGAGAGAAGTTGGAAGCGGTAACGTAGAGTAACAATGACTGTGGGTGTAACCACAGAATTAACGAAACAAAACGATCCCACGAATTCTTCACGAAATCAAGCGAGGTTGCAAAACTGGATACATTGATTCGTTTTTTTCTCAAATCTGAACCCCAACCACCCAAACCAGCCCACATAGGCTAGATGGTTCTTCAGAGGTGTGACTTGTGAGCCCAAAAATCATTTTTAACCAATCACTGTAAATAATCCCTCAAACCACACCTGCCATTTTGAACACGTCAGCACATCCACCCTATCCGAACCAAACCAAACATTCGCCCACAGGCCAACCGCACCGTTCCATCCGCCCACCTCATCTTTCCACCCCGTAGCCGACCAGGCAGATTTCCAGCAGTCATGCACTTACGCACACAGAACACGCACTTCGGAAACTCCCTTCTTTAACTTCTGCATCTCCCTTCTTTACACACTCGACAACCTTCAGAGCTCAGTTGATAGCTTCTGGAGTTCTCTCTTTCAGCCCCTCTGAAGTCCCACACTGGCATAACGTACATCTTGCCTAGATCTCATAGCTTAGCCGTTTTGCGTTTCCCTCTCCGCAAAAGCGGACATCTCAGATTGCAACTCGTCGAACGCCCTCCCCCATAACTTGCTTGAATGGTGGTTCCTGTTTTACATCGTTTAAATGTAACATATGTTTGCATGTTCCCACTTCTTTCGGCAGGATCACGGATGCGCGAAATATCGCCAAGATTACGGGGTGACGTAGCTCTTGATGGGCATCTTCCGCCTCGGGTCTGTCATCAACTTCTTGAGCCACGCCATCCTAGTCGGCTTACTGGCGGGTGGCTTCTGGGGTGCACGTCGTTCACGCAGTGCACGGACATCGTTACACAGCAGCCCATGTGCGTTTCATTTATATTCTGTCAAGCTGTCTTTTTTATTTTGTCGTTGACTTCTAACTCGCAAGTTAAAACCGCCATTAGAACCGTCGCGATTGCATTTTGTGTGATGGTGTCTAGCTAAATATGATATTACTAACCCCTCTGTCGCAATGTCAGCGGGATGCATAACGGCACGCTCTGTTTGCATGTGTTGCAGGGCGTATCTGTTTTTGCAGGATTAACGTGAACCAGAAGCGCACTATGCTCATTTTTCACGGTTAAAGCATACTCTTGTATTACAAACCGCAACTGTTGAGTGACTTATTTCTGCTTGTTTAACGACGTTTTTTCCTCTGTTCTTTCAGGTTCCAGAGTTTGCAGCTTCAGAGCTGTGCATTGTGCGTAGTGATTGCATTATGGATGGGTAGAGACGCTCTCTAGAAACCTAGCAATGCAACCTAAGTTAGGCGTAGGTGTAGAATCGAAGATGTGTACAGTTCGTGAATGAGATGTGAATACCACGTATACGGTAATAAAGAACTGCACACTGATTACAGTACACCTCTTGATATTTTCCGCAGTGAAACAAAATCGCTGCAGTGTTTTGTGCAAAAATCTCTAGCCAATCAAAATTTGTTAATGCATGTTCAACCAAGCTCTGATTGGTCCACATGGCAGACTTACGTGCGTTGATCAAATTTACATGATTCGAATCCAACGGTTGACGTTGTAGTACGGTATTTGCCACGTCAGCGTGTATGGTTTCATTTCGCGTACATCATATGCCACGTGGCGCTGTCTTGACACTTTTGCAGAGGTTGCTCTAATGTGACGGAAAAGGCACCCATGAGGTTGCTTTCTGGATACCAGGGCATTAGCGAGAAAGTGTACAGGTTTTGGCTGGAAGGGACGGAAAAGTTGAGTCGCAAGTAACTTGAGCTACCACTGTTTTCGACTAAGACTTTTTTTCTGCGAGACGAAAGTAACCCTAAAGTGACGAGTAAGTAACTTTTCAGTTGTTTTTCGCCCTTCCCTTTTCCGCGATGGCTATGCCGTTGCGCGAAGCAGGATAGCTGGGAATCAGGCTATTGTTTATACACGTGACTTAGTGGCCTGAACGAGGCCGAATTGGCAGAGGAGAAGCGACGGCTGCCATTGCTGCGATCGGTTGAAGCCGACTAGAAGTCTCTTCAGACTAACCATTGCTTCTATGATCTATCCCATGATCCCATCATCTCTGTTTCGCTTCACGACCAAAATGATCGTGACCAGTGTCTGCGTTTGAAGCATCACGTTAAATAGAAAATAATTCTGTGCAGGCTGGGCGCAAGGGTGCTGCTTTTCATTCAACATTTTCCCTCGAAATTATGTTCCCTGTCAGAAGTGACAGTATCGAGCGGCGGGGATGTGTGTGCATGTACGGAGCGGCGGGAGACTTCCACACTTCGCGGAACCTTGAACCTTGATCCTTGGCAACCTGACACCCACCCTCCCCAGACTTCCGTATAATCGTTCTGAACCACATTCAGCCGTGCCGTCGTTTGTCCTGGATTTTTTCCAAGCTGACCGAGACACAGCCATCCAACTTCTAGGGAAACTAGCACGCAGGTCATTAGCGACAGCATTTCTGATAGCACCTAGTTGATGTTGGGGAAGATTCTTACTGATGACCGCGATAGCGGACTTATTTTTCCGATAAGCGTCTGTAGTTTCTTGCAGTGAGAATGCTCAGCGTTGTTGCTTCCTAGTCACAAACTCCTTTCCTCACCGTCGCACTGTGCGCGTCGCTCAACAGGGACCAGCGACCGTGCGATCGTGGGTAGCAGGATGATGTACCCCAAGGCCGCAGCGCCGGGCGTGGTGCGCCTCGACCAGATACCGCGATGGACGGAGCAGGAGTTCGGCGCGGCGGCTCTCGGAGGCGCGGCGTTGGGCGACATCGCGACCGCGGCGGACCTCATGGGGCTCGAGCCGCCAGGAATAGGAGTCACTGCATTAGACGGAGATTCCGGCGCGTCGGGCGCGGGAGTCGCAGCAGGCCTGTCAAGCTACGCGACGGCGATCGCGTCGACGAGCTCGGCGCGCGACGAGGACCCGGGCGGGTTCGACGACCCGCTCTCCGCGCACGGCCTGGAGCTGCGCGGCCGCGGCCGCGGATCCGGAGACGCGCCGAAGTTCCCGGTGAACGCGGAGCTGAACGCGAAGGTGTACGTGTGGCGCGGCGCGCCGTGGGCGCTGGAGGTGGATGCGGTCGTGAACTCGACGAGCGAGAGCCTCGACCCCGCGCTCTCCTCGCCCGGCCTGCACGACGAAGCCGGCCCGGGGCTTGCCGAAGAGTGCGCCACGCTGGTCCGTGCCCCGCGCCCCGCTCCGCCCCGTGCCGTGCCGTGCCGTCCTGTGACTCCTTGCTGCTGCTGCTGCTGCTGCTGCTGCTGCTGCTCCTGCTTTGCGTGTCGGAGTTGTTGGTGTTGGGATTTGTTTGCAGGATGGCGTGAGACGGAGGGGGGATCTGGTTTGTTACAATGCGTCGCTGAGTTTGCTAAGCGAATGTGTATGTGAACCCAGTCGTTCACGCGCACGTCCGTGTGTGTATGTGTGTGCGTGCGCCGTGGTGTGCGGTGCGCGTGGCAGGGCGGGTGCAGAACGGGCGAGGCGAAGATGACGGGCGCCTACGAGCTGCCCGCCAGGTGAGCCCCTCGTTACCGCTCTCCGCCGTTGCTGTCTCCTTTCCTCGCATTCCGTCACCCGCCTCATCCCCTTCACCCCGCTCATCCCGCTCGCTCCTCCCGCTCCCTTCACCCGCCTCATCTACTCACTCCCCCGCCCCTCCGCAGGCGCGTGATCCACACGGTGGGGCCGCGGTACACGGACAAGTACCAGACGGCCGCCGAGAACGCGCTCAGCCGCTGCTACCGCATCTGCCTCGAGCTGATGCTCGAAAACGAACTGCGCAGGTGGGCAACAAGGGGAAGGGAGAGGGAAGGAGGAGGAGGGGAGGGGGGGGAGGAGAAGGGAGGGAGATGGAAAGTGGTGAGGGGCAGGGAGAAGGAGGTCAGGGACCAGGGACGTTGGGATTGGCTTGAGGCGAAAGCACGAGTTTAAGTGAGTGAGCTCAAACCAGAGGCGTGCTGCTTCTCATTCTTCTCCTTTCTCTTTCCTCCCTCCGGCCATCTTTCCCCTGTATGGCCATTCCCCACCCTTCCCCCCCCGCGTGTGACACCCCCCGCATGGCAGCATAGCGCTGCTGCCCATCTACTCGGAGGCGAAGGGGTATCCCAGGGAGCCCGCTGCTCACGTGGCCATCCGTAAGCCACTCCCTGCCCACGCTGTACCGCGCTCGCCACCCAACGCAATGGTGTCCGTCAAACGCCTCATGCCCCAAGCTTCCTCCTTGGTGCTCTGAACACGGTTATGGATGTGCTCTCCTAGCATCGCCCCATCATCCCATCCCTTGAGAGCAGGCACTGTCTTCTCACCATGCTGCTGCCTCACACCCATGCTCGTCCCGCGCACCTCTGCCCGGCCTCTGTCCACCTACCCTGCCCCCCCCTGGGTCACCAGGCACGGTGAGGCGGTTCTTGGAGAAGCACGGGCGGGGCATGGCGGCGGTGGTGTTCTGCATCCACATGGACGACGACCACCTCATCTACAAACGGTGCTCGCCTCTGCGCTCCTTTACTCCACATGCACTCGTGCTCTCCTACCCTCGCCTCCCCTTTTACCCCACACTCTTGTCTTGCTTTTCCTGTGTTCCCAATCACCTTATCCCCCTCTCACCGTACGTACTTGCTTCTCGCCCCACAGTCTTGATGTGCTTCCATTCCTCTTCCACTGCCAATCCCACTCCCACTCCCAT